TTTATGCCACATAGCAAATTGTAAAATCTTTATTGGTATTCAATTCTTGAGGCATTTTGAGCTTTGTCTCTCTCAACACTACACTGATCAGAACCAAAAAAGAGGAGCTCCACTGCAACAGGATGCGTCCCTCTCCCCAACGCTCAGAGTTAATGCTGAGACACTGAACACCCCAAAGCCCACACTCCTTACTCCAGTTTCACTAAAAGTCATTCATAAGCACCACTGTTGCAATCTCAATATTATATCTAAAATCTGTTTCAAAAAGATTAAATTCTTCCAAATTTCTATGCACTTTCAACCCATCTTTTTCTCTATAATCTTCCCTCCAAACAAGAGATTGGAGACTGTTGATAATTGTTTGATATTGTTAGGTTGACTGATGTAGGAATCTTATCTTTATCTCTTTCAAGGAAGACCATACCCTCTCTTCACCCCAGGAAGTATTCGCCACTACACTGACCCAAACACCTGCAGTTTTTCACCAACTATGGACAGACATTCAGATTAAATTACATTACCTTGTTTTCGGTGGCATGCTTCTCTTTTTCAACCTTGGCTAACGTTAACTCAAGGTCATCAATGTCCTTCTTCAATTCAGAGCATTCATCCTCCAGTTTCCTTTTCTTGGCAGTCAGTTCTGCATTCAGCTCCTCTTCATCTTCTGCCCTTTCAGTCAGTTCCTTGATTTTAGCCTCCAGCTGGATTTTAGTCTTGATCAATTGGTCACATCTTTCTTCAGCATCTGCCAGACTTTCACTTTCCTTATTAAAGAAAAGATACCATTATTAACTATTGCTCAGAATGTTTCCACTTTCTTAAATAGTCCTTCCTTTAATCAATAATTATCAACTTTAATTTGCTCAGATTTACTTCATGGCTCTGCTTAAAGAATATTAATTAAATTTATTTTTAGTTTTCAAATAACAAACATATTGTTAAGCTTTTGGAATCATTAGGCAGGATAGAAAGAGAGCTTTGGGGAAAAAAATGTAAGGAAAGAAGCCAAATCTCATCAGCTGCATACACATCCCAGCAGTCCATCATACTTAGCCTTTTGCCATTTCTGAAGTAAATCCCAAAGATTTAATATTGAAACCCAGTTCTCATCATCACATTACACTGGTCCAGCTGTTCACCACCACAATTACATAGTTTTTGTCCATGCATTCAAAATTCTACACTTTTTTTTCACTAAAAAATGCACGAGAACATTGTTTCAGACTGAATAAACTGTGCTGCAATTAAATAACAAAAATAAATGGAAACTGGAATGGAGCAGGAAACGGGGAAGCAAATAGAGACACCTGGATAATATAACTATGGCTTCTACAGTGATATGCTATTGAATCCTTCTTGTTCTTTGATTTACAAAGAAGTATTTGGGATCAGGGGAAATGAAAATACTTCATGTTTATTTATTTATTTTAAATTTGGGTTGTTTTTAGCTAAATCATTGCCCTAGGTGAATACAAGATAAAATCAATTAAATTGTTGCAGGCGATGGAATGGTTTTCTCTTTTGCATGTAGCAAGAATGATGTTGCTTCTGGTGCTCAAAAGCATCAGCTACAGAGAAAGGAAGGCCATTCAAGAGGAGACATAACACGTTTGCGTAACTGAAATATTAATTTAAGAAGAACTAATTATGAACTGTATCTCAGAATACCCTATCAGAATTAGAGTGATGAAGATGCTCAATTTGAGATTAATTTTTTGAAAAAGTTGCAGAAGCTGCAGTTAATTTTACATTGCAGTGAAAAACTAGTGGGCACGTGTCCACTAGTAGAATTTTATTACACTTTCCTGCAGCTTAAAGTATACATGGTGTGGACCCAGAATATAGTCAGTAGATAACGAGGGGTGTGTGTGTGTGTGTCTCTGTGTGTAAGAGACGGGGGGGGGGGGAGAGAGAGAGATTCCTCTACCTACAGTTAGAAAGAAAAGCCCGGTTCTCTATCTATCCAAGATGGGTAGAGAAGTGCTGGTGATCAGAGACCAGGCTTCCTTAATGTCTTTGTCCATGCTGTGAAATACGCTGCTTACAAAAAATATAGTTGTCAACATTATGGTTGACCTTTGGCCATCTGACAAACACATTTTTTTAAAAAAACAATTCAAACAGGCTTTTGCCTGTAATTATCTGCTTAGGACAATACATTTCCTAAAGCCAATCATGAAAAAGATTAGCAAACTAATCTTACAGATTGTACTTGAAGCTGCAGATCATTTTTCTCTTGCAACAAAGACACCATTTTTTCTTCCAGTTCTTTCCTTTTGGCTTCTGATTTGGCAAGTTCTTCTTTAGTTCTCTGAAACTCTTCTTTCATGGTGGCCATTTCTTTCTCTGCCTCTGCACTCCTTAACAGTGGCTTGATTTTGAAGAACAGCTTCATCCAAGGCCAATGTTTGACATTCATGAATGAGCGAATGTTGTACTGAATCATGAAAATTGCTTCCCTGTAATGAAACCATTCCAGAAAGTTACTTATTGCAGATTAATAAAAATAGGTTTTACTAAAAGAGGCTGTGGAGTTACATTATGACACCAGCATTGATTTCCCAATCCCATCTCCAACTATATTGCTAAAATCAATAATATAAATCCGGAAAACTGGCAGTTGAGGCAGGAAAGAGATGAAAAATTTTACTTGAGAATCTTATCTGGCTTACAAAGCTAAAGAAATTTAGCCTGGCTATTACTTGATGGAAGACTACCAGGAAAGCCCAAGATTGTAAACTGGATTAAAAAGTAAAAAAAAAAAAAGATAAAATTAAAAGAACGATAAAGTATGTGCCTTAGAATTACTCCATGGGGAGGGGATATTTTCTTCAGCTTCTTTTTCATTTCTTTCTACAGGACGTGGTATTACAAGGCAACAAAATGGCTACTGAAGCCAAGATGAAGCTAACATTCCAGAACACTCCAGAAAGCTATAAAATCTGGGTACAAAACTAATATGTAAATCATTACTTTTTATGTTAAACTGTCTGACTATTAAGTTGTCAAGTTTCAATCAGACTCCAAGCATCTGATGAAGTGAGTAACGGCTCAAAAATATGCCTTTTAATAAAATTGACTATTGGAAAAGGTGCCACTAGATTCCTTTTGATTTTGGGCATCATAGACTAACACCATAGACTAATATTGACAGATGACTATAGGTGTTATTCAGTGAAAATTTTCCAAGTATATCTCAATTGTTCCAAGAATGTAACAGGTAGATATTATATTATAATATAGTTATTACTGGATAAAATATAACAGTAAATAAGCAAAAAAAATTCCTTCTTTTAAGTTGGGGGCCACCTTCTATAAGAACATAACTTCTGGTGCTATATATTTGATGGTTCCACATCCACTCCCTCAGATGTTGCTCTGTGGTTTACTTGTTAGGTAAACTTGAGACATCATGGCTTATACAGAAACCATAGTTAACAATGATATGATGTGACATGTGGAGTAAACTATGGCCTAGGAAGGTTGGAGAAGCTTTTTTGGTTCTTTGGCAAAAATATGGATGAGTATCTAATTATAGGCAGTCCTCTATTTATGACCACAATTGAATCCAGAATTTCCATTACTAAGTGAGAAAGATATTAAATGAATTTTGTCCCATTTTACAAACCTTTCTTGCCACGGTTATGAAGTGAATCACTGCAGTTGTTAGGTTAGTAACACAATTGTTAAATCAATCTGACTTTCCCATTGGCTTTGTTTGTCAAAAGATTGCAAAAGGGAGGGGGTCACCTGACTCCAGGACACTGCCACCATCATAAATATGAGCCAGTTGCCAAGCATCTGAATTTTGATCATGTGACCGTGGGGATGCTACAATGGTCGTAACTGTGAAAAAACAGTCACTTTTTCCAGTGCTCTTGTAACTTTGAATGGTCGCCAAACAAATATAGTTGAAAGTTGGGGACTGCCTGTATCCTGAAAACCTCAGCCTACATTAACAAGGCCTGCAGAAGAGAAATGTACTCTACCTTCTTGCAACCATCTGTTGGTATTCCAATCTCATGAGATACCCCCTACACACAGCCTGTGTGCGGGTGATGAGCAAAGTGAGGCGGTCATCTCTCATCTCTTCCAGAAGGCCCAGCAAACCAGCCTTGAAAAACACCTGGAAATAAATAAATTATTTGTATATATATATATATATATATATATATATGCAAAAAAAAATAGGTGAGCTGTCTTGTGAACGTAGAGCTTGTCTCCCAAGTCCTCAGCTCAGAAAAGTGCTTACTTTGGTGTGCCCAAATTTGTACTGAGTGTGATCAATATCGATGGAGCCCAGCAATTTCTCACAAGCTTTCTTACTGTCCATAAACTGGCCCTCTGGGATGGCACTAGCATTCAGGACACGATATCTGCCCGATTAAACATAAAAAGACACACATCATTTTAGTGTTGGAATCGGTAGCAAAGAGAAAGGCTCTGAATCACTGTCAGTCTTTAAATATCTTCTCATGGTTCAGAAAACTGCCCATGAAAGTTGGTACAAACATAAAATTGAGCAATAATAAAGCCAGTTTTTCACTGAGCGTGATGTGCAAATATGAAACGATGAGTTACAAACATCTTTGTCCATAAAAAAGGGAAAAATAATCAAAGCTGATTTTGTCTTAGCACTATAAATGTGGCAGGATATAATTAATTTACTTTACAGAAGTGTGTTTTTGTTGATTTCTGTTTGTGGTTTTTTTTTTTTTTTTTTGATAGCAAAATTCACCCTAGGAAAATTTCTACAGGCAAAAGTAGCTATGTAATGCAGCACAAAGATGTATATTTTTCTTTGCATACATTTGCATCAAAATTATAATATATAGCATGAGGGGTAGAGCATCACTACTGCTTTTGGATAATATTTACCTAACAAAAATCTAGTATGCAACCAGGCAACTTTACAAGAAATTGAGTTGACAGACCTTTGCTTAAAATCTCCATATAAGATTCTGTTTGGAAATCCCTTCCTGCAGATTCGAATTCCTTCAAGCACTCCATTGCATCTCAGTTGATGTAGGACAAGCTTGTGATCCATCGCACCTGTGCAAGACCAAAGCAAAGAAAAATGGCAGCTTTTTTCTCACTTTCTCCTGAAGCTTTTCTGGAAATCCAGACACGAGATTCCTGTAAGTTACCTGGAGTTTTAGTTTCATTGGGGATAATGCAGCGCACAAAATGTGGATGAGTAGTTCTCAAATTGGACATCAATTTGTTCAGATTTTCCTGTGATTTTGAATAGAGCAATTGTAAAATATTCAGTACCTCTTAAAAGAATTTTTAAAAACTTGAGATAATCAAGTATTGTATGTTAAAGCAATTAAAGCATAGATTTTTTTAAACTCAGAGCCGTTCTATTAATTTTTCAATTTTATTTTAAACATTTTGGAGGAAGAAGAAAAATATGAAGTGTGGGTTAATATGATCTGCAGCCTCTTAAGATTTCTTGTCAATTGAACCAACACTCATTACTTCCAAACTATCATTATAAAAAGATACAAATAGAGTTGTGCATTTTTTGTATATAACTGTATAAAAAAGCACAATATTCCTTACAACCCAGTCAAATCAAAGTTACATACCCTGAAAAGTGCAGAAACAGTTTGGAAAGATGATCCCTTCTTCTTGGCACCTTTCTTTTTATGAGCCCCTTCTATTAGAAAGCAGAATATAAATGTAATTAGTTCTCTTATTATCATCATCTCTGCCCAACCTTTTTGTGATACAACACAGGACAAAGTTTCAAGGCAGTTTTGATTATCGAATCAAGAGAGAAAGGAAAAGGCTCTTGAAACTTACCCTCATCTTGGGAAGAAAAGGTTGCATACAGATTGGCTAATATCTTAATGGATGACTTCTGATACAGTGCCACAACAGTTTCGTTTAAGGGATCTTTGTTCTTCTCTAACCAGCCACTAATGTTGTAGTCCACAATCCCCGCATAGTGCACAAGAGAGAAATGGGCCTCAGGCTTGCCTTTGATAGGCTTCGGCTTTTGGAAGTTGGCTGATTTGCCTAGATGCTGGTCATAAAGTTTGTTCTTGAAAGACTGATCAGTTGCCTTGGGGAACATACATTCTTCTTCCAGAATGGAAAAGATGCCCATTGGCTATGTTAAAAAAAAAAAAAAAGCCTAGTTTTATTTCAGTTGTGTCTTTTTACCAACTGGTGTGGAAAGCCATAGAGATAACCTTGGAGAAACTCTACGACAACCTTTACAAAAACATGTTTTAAGCCTGGAAAACAAAGAAAAACATCAGAAAGGAACTCAAACTGTCTCTGCCTTAATTCCCTGGAGTCTAACACAGGGAGGATAAAACTATCAAGATAACGATCTCCACAAACTAAAGTTCCAGCATTCCTGTGTAATATGCCTCCCAATGTGGTCTCACTCAAAGGGCTGCCATCTGAGTGGTTACTTTAAGATAACATTCCAATTTACCTTCTCAATAAGCTCAATGCAAGCAGCCAAATCCATTCCAAAATCTATGAAAGTCCACTCAATTCCCTCTTTCTTGTATTCTTCTTGTTCTAGTACAAACATGTGGTGGTTGAAAAATTGTTGCAGTTTCTCATTGGTGAAGTTGATGCACAACTGTTCCAAGCTGTTAAACTAACAACAAAATATATTCAATTAATGTAATTCCTTAGACCTCATAGATTCTCTGCTAAATGAAACTTTAGTTCATCAGGGATTTTAGGCAACAGATACTAATAATGAGAAGATAATTTCAATCTTCCTGCTTTCCTGCTAGACAGCATTAGGATGTTATTCTTATCCTCAACACTAGATGGCACTTGTTCCAACCATGGGTTGAGATGAAGTGTAAGGAGGCAGAGAAACAAGAGTTTGTAATAGATCTGCATACCTCAAAGATTTCAAAACCTGCAATATCCAAGACTCCAATGAAATGTTGTCTGGGCAACCTGGTGTCCAGCTGTTGATTAATACGAGCTACCATCCAGAAGAAGAGTTTTTCATAGACAGACTTAGAAAGTGCATTGACAGCATGATGCACCTATAATCATAATCAATTAGGGACAAATGAAGAGTTAACATCAATGATAGGAAAACAGACCACTACCACTGTTTATTCATTTATTTATTTATAACCCAGTTTCATTATTTTTACAAATAACTCAAGGCAGTGAATATATCTAATATTCCTTTTTCCCCATTACAACAACCCTGTGAGGTGAGAGTTGGCTGGGAAAGAGTGACTGGCCCAGGATCACCCAGCTTAGTTTCATGGCTAAGGCAGGACCTGAACTCATGATCTCTTGCTTTCGAGCCTGATGCCTTCACCACTAGAACATACTGCCTCTCTATGCACATATTAGTGCCAGGCCAATTATATTTTCCTGCATTTCTTTCTACCTGATCTCATTCAGTTCAATTAATCAGCAATTACTCTATATTTCAAAAGGGAAGAGGAATTCTCCTGGATGAAGTTTGGCGTTCCTGCACTTATTTGGCTATGAAATAATGAAGGGGAAAGCTTGAATGTCATGTCTTAGAACTGTCCAGCAGTCTGCAGCCTTCTGGTTTCCCAGGCTTCAATTAAAACCAAGAGGAATCATCCCTCCTATCATCTGTGTTGTTCTGTCAGCTAGCGGATATTTTTGTCTTTGAGAAGTTGTTTCTCAAAGGAGGGAATTGGAAAAATCAGTGGTAGAGAATTTTAGAAAGCATTTGTATGAATCTCTAAAATGTACTTAAGTCAGACTGTAATCAATTTAGAGATCTTCATATCTCTCCCTGAGAAATATGAATGGTAATTGGCATTATATGTATCTCCAGGCAGATCCTCATGTTCTGTTTGCCCAATTGCCAACACAGGACATCTGCCAGTTCTTGAATGCAGGAATAAATAAAGTTGCATCCACCAAGCCCTGGCCCATTGCAAACATACCCATGCCTCTTCTTCAAAACGGATCTTTTCCACCCAAAACCCTACAGTGAAATGTAGGAACAAAAAAACCAACTTGCTCCCTTTGTAGCAACAGAGTAATAAAGGTAAAATAACAGGCTGGAGAGAAAGGCTGTTTAGCATCAAAGGACAGAATGTGGGAAGTGGATATAAAAGCATCTTTTTCAACAGTGAAAAAAGAAGAGGAGCTACTGGGGACAGAACAATCTCCAAAGCGAAAGATAGATATTGATAGGTTGACCGCTCAGAGGGCAGCCAGCCAGCCAGCCAGCCAGCATGGTCTATGCAGATGGGAAAGGCAAGCAGAACAGCGACCAATCAGAGCCTGCAAATGCTCTTGGTCCCCTGCTAAACCATGGCAACCTTGAATGGAATTTTTTAAAGTTGGCAACAGGAAAAACCAACTTCAGTGCTGCAGACAAGCAGATTAAGTTTCCGTTTGGAATTGTTCCTAGCCGAAATGTCTTCCGGTTGAAATTCACTGCATGTTTCTTATAATTCCTGTTAGTGGAACTTTTTTCCCCCTAAATGGTATAAAAGTGATACAATCTAAATAGGATGAATGACACAATTTCCTTCAAAGGAAATTAATGAACACCCTGAAAGGAAGAAGTATATGTTTGACATATGGACTACTAGGTGGTTTTGATTTGTCACCTGTACTTACCTGATCTACAGTTTGGCCTTTGGTGACATACTCATTTCCCACTTTCACCCGAGGAAAGCATAGGGCTTTCAACAAATCAGCAGAATTCAGGCCCATCAGATAAGCTGTCTTGTCAGCCTCTGTAAAGAACCCACAAGAAACAAGTCTTTGTGAAACTTTAGTAGAATGATCGGGGTTGTGCAAAATACAACCAGTGAATTGGCAGCATGACTTGGGGAAGCAGGAAAACAATACTGGAATTTCTGGACAGAGCACAGTTTTGAAAATCAGCCTTTGTCAAGTATCAATCCTTAATCTCATTTAATTTTTATTGCTCAAAAACCAGAACACATTTAAAAAGTTAGTTGTGTTCCATTTGAAATCTTCCACAGAAGGAGTATCTCAACTTCAAGACTATCCTTGCTCTCTCTTTCAAAACTCTTTCTTTTTTTCACTCATATTCCTACCTCTCAGTCAATAAGGCACCCAAAGCAAAAGTAATCAGTTTAATGCTGCTTGTTGTTGTTGTTGTTAATTGTGAAGTCGTGTCCGACCCATCGCAACCCCATGGACAACGTTCCTCCAGGTCTTCCTGTCCTCTACCATTTTCTGGAGTCCATTTAAGTTCACACCTACTGCTTCAGTGACTCCATCCAACCATCTCATTCTCTGTCGTCCCCTTCTTCTATTGCCCTCAATCTTTCCCAGCATTAGGCCCTTCTCCAGTGAGTCCTTCCTTCTCATTAGGTGGCCAAAGTATCTGAGTTTCAACTTCAGGATCTGGCCTTCTAAAGAGCAGTCGGGGTTGATCTCCTCTAGGACTGACCGGTTTGATCGCCTTGCAGTCCAGGAGACTCGCAGGAGTCTTCTCCAGCACCAGAGTTCAAAGGCCTCCATTCTTTGGCGCTCAGCCTTTCTTATGGTCCAACTTTCACAGCCATACATCGCAACTGGGAAAACCATGGCCTGGACTATACGCACTTTTGTTGGCAGGTGATGTCTCTGCTTTTTAGAATGCTGTCTAGATTTGCCATAGCTTTCCTCCCCAGGAGCAAGCGTCTTTTAATTTCTTGGCTGCAGTCCCCATCTGAGGTGATCTTGGAGCCCAGAAAAATAAAATCTGTCACTACCTCCATTTCTTCCCCATCTATTTGCCAGGAATTGAGAGGCCGGATGCCATGATTTTGGTTTTCTTAATGTTGAGTTTCAAGCCAACTTTTGCACTCTCCTTCTTCACCCGCATCAAGAGGCTCTTTAGTTCCTCTTCACTTTCTGCCATTAGAGTGGTATCATCTGCATATCTTAGGTTGTTGATATTTCTCCCGGCAATCTTAATTCCAACTTTTGTTTCTTAATGCTGCTACATATTATAAAAATCTCAAAGCATGTAAGAGAAAAGCTATGTTTCAGTGCTGAAAGCTGAGAAGATGCCTTTTATCATTCTTGTTCCTAATGTTAATATGCTTTTTCCAGAGGATTTTTGTAAATCATGCAGTTGAATCATTTGATTTATAAGGTTTGAAGACTAACTTATGGAATTTGTTACCTTCTGTGCCATCTGGTTCTGCCTGCTCTTCTCGGGGTTTCTGCTTAAATTTCATGTTGCCATAATGCATCACTGCTCCTGTCAACTTATAAATGCCAACTTTCTCTTCAGAAGTAAAGCCCAGGATGTCTATGGCTGTCTAATGGGGGGAAAGTGCCATAGTTAATTATGTTTTCAGACAGGAATGACATTCTTTGTTCTACAGCATAATCATATTTTCACTCACATCTGTAGCTATAAGCTCCTCTTGGTCATCAATGCTCTGGACCGCAATTTCGCCTTGGCTTATGAATGGATAGTCATAAGGATTTGTTGTAATGAGAAGCATTTCTGAAACACACAGGGGATGTCTTTCTGAAATTCTAGGGCTTAACATATATGAGCTTTCCGATGCAGGAAAGAGTCAACAGAGAAAAAAAACCCACACCATATTATTTACCACATGCATTATCAATAAGATGAAAGGTTCAGAAAGGTAAAATGGAATCCTATTTACCAATTAGTTCTGGCTTCTTATTGGAGAGAATCTGGTAGAAGATGTGGTAACTCCTCTCAGCCTTTAGCTGAAAGGTCACTCTTGACTTTTCCAGAAGATCTACAACAGAAGGTTCAATTAATGTTCATGAGTCCAATTTTGTAGACATTATGTAGACTATTCTCCAATTCAGCTACTTACAAGTCTCAATATCTGCAGAAGCCAGCTTTCCGGTGGTACCAAAATGAATCCTAATGAATTTTCCCTACAGGGTAGAAAGATAGAACAGTTATTTCAAAAATCTAGAAACGTTTAATATATGGATTAGAGTTATTTTTGCAACTGAATATTTTGTTATGGTTTTTGTTTCATTTTATTTTTGCAACTGAATATTTTGTTATGGTTTTTGTTTCATTTTCATTTGCTGCTGAAGAGTAAATAGGTAAGTCACTGTGTTTTAACGAATGTTGTGTTGTGTGTGTTTTAAACCTTATTTCAGTTGAAACCTTTTTCTTTCAAGGATTTCTTAATAAGTATAGAATGTTTTACCACATAGGCAGGATTAACACAAATACTCCAGTTTGGGGTATTTTCTTCCACATCTCTTCCTCTCCTTCTTACAAGTGATTTTAAAAGGAAGAAGATGGCTACTGAAGCCAAGATTAAACTAATGTTCCAAAACATTCCAGAAACCTTAAAATCTGCAATATAAAACTAACATGTAAATCATCCATTCTCTGTTGAACTGCCCAACTACAAAACTGTCAGGCTTCAGTCAGACTCCACGCATCAAATGAAGTGAGTGGCAGCTCAAATAAATATACCTTTCAATAAATTTATTATTGGAAAAGGTGCCACCAGATTCCTTTTGATTTTTGGCCAACATTGACTAACATGGCTCTCCTGTACCAGTTCAGTGAGGATTTTCTCAGTATATCAGAAGTGTTCCAAGAATGGAAGCTATGTTTTATTATCAATTAATGATTATTGGGTAAAAGAATAACAGCTTTGGGAAGATGGAAAGTAAATAAGCAAAGAATCCTTCTCTTTAGTTGGAGGACCGCTTCCTGTAAGGACATACTTTCTGGTATTATATATTTGAAGGGCCCATAACCCCTGATTCACATATAACAGGCACCCACAATAACCTACAGTCATGTCTGGAGTCTAATGATATATTACCATACCATATTTAAGTATATGCAACTAACTCATTTTGTTAACACTGGATATGGCATGTGAGGGTAGGAGGATTAAAGCTTCTTTCCCGTTACTTTATTTTTGAATATCCTCCCCCGTATAAGAATGGGCAGTACCTGTAAAAATATAACAGCATGTAGTTTGAGCCAAAGAAACCTACTAGCCCATTGGAGATAATCATTTTGGGCAAGGAGGGAAGTTATACATTTATACCCAAGCTGAAATACCGACATACCAATTACCTCTTTGTATTAGATTTTGAATTACGTTTTTTTAAAAGCCTTCCATTGAAGACAGAGCTTTTTTATGCCAGCTTGAATTGCTCTATGGGGAATGAGAGAAGAAGCAGGACAGGTTGTCTGGAGAGGCTGCAAGTAAATGTATCTCCTGCCAAGGATTCATCACTTACAAAACGGGAGGAGTTGTCATTCCTCACAGTCTTGGCATTCCCAAAGGCCTCCAATAAAGGGTTGGCACTGATGATTTGATCTTCAAGTGTCCCCTGCAGAAGTATTGGAATATATATGATGAAAACCAAGTGGGGGGGGAAACACTGCAGAATCTTGAACAGAAGTGAGCTTAATTAAAGTAAATGTGACTGATTTTCCAATGAATGGATTTCGAATGGATTTAAATTTTTTTTTCAAAGGCTTAAGGAATGAAAAACATGGAATTAAATTACCAGAGTACCTTCACTGAATTTCAATTAATTCTGACAGGTCTTTGTTTTCCATAAACTAGAGGGGGGGGGTTGCACCAAACACACATCAATCTTAAGATCTAAGTGATTTGTTATTGATACTCAGATTCAGAATGTGCAAAATGTTTTGAGTTCAATATGGATTGTTCTAATTTTACCAATAGCACAGAAAGCTCAGAACATTTTCACCCAAATCAAAATGGTTCTTTCAGACTTGAAATGCTTAGAATTCAAGGCATTTTGCACACTGTTACTAGTTACTAGAAATTAGTTATTTCGCTCAAGAAAAAAAATCAGAAACTATTCTAAAAGCAGGAGGGAAGTTATACATTTATACCCAAGCTGCATTTTGCTCCTTTCACACTTCCTGCCCCCATAAATGATTCCTAAAAGGAGCTGTCAGAATGGAGGGAAAGACTAGAATAAGGGAATTAAGAGGATGGGGGGGTGGGAGAAGACAATACATTTTTCACAAGTCTTGCCTAGAATGTTATGATAAAATTTGCTTCTGAAAACTAGAATTGCTGCTGGCAATGGAAGGAGAGCTTCATTTCCTGGAGGACTTAGAAAGTGCTTCCTTTGGTATATAGATTTCATGATCCAGTCACCTTTTTTTTTAAGGTTTAATAAAATCTACCCTTCAACCATTTCTGTAGTTTATGTCCTAGAACCTATGTCAAAGGTTTTTGCTTTTGGAAGTAAGTATTATGAAGGTAGGAAAAAAAATCATTCAGGGCTGTTAAGTATAATGATTATTTGTTACAATTCAATTTTCTTTCATTTAAAAGAAAGTAAACTAAAACTGTTTCCAGAGCCACGCAGTATAGACTTTTCTAAAGAAGTCTTAATATGTAGTCACGTTGTTACAGTGTTATTTTGGTTTTAGCTGTTATTGATGAAAAGAATTCCACCTAAGTAACCTCTGTGGAACTTCAGACAGAAAGACTATAAATAGTCAGACTCCTTTTGCTTAAAGTTTGGGGATTTTCATTTTCAGGCATCAGCCAACCATTATTTGCGCATCAAGAATGAGGTGTATTTTTCATACCTTCATGCCTGTTTTTGGCTCTTCTTTCTTCTTGGAGCCTTCTCCAGCTGCAATTGTTGCAAAATACTGAATGACCCGCTTGGTGTTGACAGTCTTTCCAGCACCAGATTCTCCGCTAGCAAAAATAATAATAATAATAATCAATCATCAGATAAAGAAAGATTATCTATATCAGAACTATGTTACTAAAGTAATCAAGAAGCAGGACGGATCTGAAATGTCTACTCACGTGATCAAAATAGACTGGTTTTCACGATCTGCCAAAGGAAGAAGCGAAAAAATATGCTTACAAACTGCAGAGAGGGATACCAAGTCATGCTAATTGGCACCTCTGGAATTAATTTCATGCAAGTAGATATATTTGGGAAGGGTGGTGAAGACCTATGCTATTGCCACCCCAGTACTCTTTTTTATTCAACCTTATTCCTTTTCAGGTTTTGAAGCAGACTTACCAGTTAGCATGAACTGGTATGCATTGTCAGAGATGGAGAAGATGTGGGGAGGCGCCTCAGTACGCTTTTTGCCCCGATAACCAGCTACCACCTCTGGATTGTACACAGGCAACCATTTGTATGGATTAATAGTGACACAGAAGAGGCCTGAATAGGTCTGCATGGAAACCAAGAATGGTGATTAAAAATCTGCCCCCTTTGATACCCTTCGGTCCTGATAACAGGTAAGGATAAAACATACGTAGATCATCCAAGAGCTGTAGCGCTCTTTGAGGTTATACAGAACAGCTGGTTCATGTAAATGCGTCAGCATTGCCATGTCTTCAAGTTTGTCAAACTTTGGTGGGTTCATTGCGTACACATCCTCTGGCTTGGCAATTATTGTCTGAAAGGACAAGAGGAAAAGGCTCCAGAAAAAGCTCAGGGTAGGGCAGAATTAAAGACTCAGTCCCGACTAAATGCTTTGAACAAGCATATCATTCTGTTATTATCGAGACGCTATTGATAACATTACAGGCATTTCCCACTTAAAACTGGCCTTTAAGGAATGTCATCTTGTATCGAAGCTTGAGGTGGTTAAAATTTTAACTTAGTCTTCAGATGCGACAATTGTCAAAAGAATGAATGGCCCAGCAAATTACACTTCACAGTCTGCTTGTCTTTGGGACCCAAAGGAAATTTTAAAGAGAAAAAACTACAGCTTATGCCCCTTCATGCTAGAAGTACTTACAATAACTTATCCCAATAAAACATACACTTATCCTTAGAATAACTGAGGGAGAAATTTATGGGATTGTGTTTTGCACCAATATATACAGTATGTGACATAGCTATGTATTGATTCTAATTTCAAAAATATCACACTGTACCAAAAATAATATTTTCTTAAAACAGTTATTTAAATTAAAATTAAAAAGTGTTTCCCACCCCCTCCTCGCCCAAATCATGGAGGATGCTCACCCGGCCATCTGATGTCTCTACAGTAGTTTTCCCACCTTCAGAGCTCTTAATTTTTCCTTTGGCATATTCCTCCTTGGGCTCAGCCACATAGCAGTAAGTTTTGGCATCAAAGGGCTGGTTCTGAGCCTCTATTCGCTCCTTTTCAGATTTACGTAGGAAAGGGGCAGCCACCCCGAAAATCTCCATCTCTGCATCCCTGCTCATGGCTGCAGCTAAAAGAGATATACAAAAGGCTTAGTTTGATTTAAGGTTAGAGATGTTCCAGAAGTACAGCATTAGTATACCTGCTCTCAGTTCCTACATCTGGTGATATGTACAGGTTGTTAGGCAAGCAAAATATTTCCAACATTTAACTATTTTGCCAGTAATCATAGCATCAGGGCAAAAATCCCTTTGTTCTCATGTGAGGCAGCCTGTCTGTCTCTTGGTAGTTTGTTAAGTATTCAATTCACTATAGGTAGATATCCTCTGCAAAGAACCTCTGTTAAATTTTACCTGAAATTTTTCTGAGAACCTTTATTAAAAAAAAGCAAAATATCAACACCAAAAAAATAAGAAGAAATGGAATTCATAACAATAATAACAAGGATGGCTTGCTGTTTATTAAATAGTTGGGCAAGTGCAAAAACTTAAGTATCAAGAGACAGCACTTTGCAATCATTTATTGAGGCTAAAAGTAGTTAACAGGGAAAAATGATTGAAAACAATATAACATTGTAGGAAGAGCACTGAAAGACACAAAAAAATGTTTATTACTATGTATACACACATATATATACATGCAAACAACACATATATTTTACACTGGTTTCCAAAGAGTATAGGATATGAATGTGAAATGAATACAAGCAATATTGTTGCTAACTGAATTCTTATAATGACACAATAGACATATAATCTGGATAACAGCCAATCAACATAGGAAGACTTATTATTTCTGGTATTGTGATTTTTGTGTGGCACTATTTATATCAAGAAGGCACTATCTATATTATATTAATATATCTTTTATATATTAATTCAATTTATATGCCACCTTTCTATCCAGAGGGCTACTTCCTTAGGCATATTTTTGTATTAGATTTTATTGTTTCTCTTACACTGGTCTGAGATGGAACTGGGTGGTTGGAATCTTTGCTGAAGAGGTTCTTCTAATGTGAGATGACTTCCACTCCCCAAATCACATTTTAATGGCTCAGAAAAAGGGGGGAAACAAGCATGTTAAACAATAACAAGAAATTCTGGACGGGGGCAAGACTTTACTTTCTCGTACTTTAGTGTAAGTGGAAGTTGAGCTGCTTATCATTTACCAAAGCACTGAGAAGACTTGGTGCATACCTCTGTCTGCTGGAAGAAGAGTGATTTAGATCGGAGGTCGCCAACCTTTGGGGCACCAGGGACCGGTTCCATGGAGAGAGGTCTTTCAGCAGACCAGAGAGTGCCTGCATCTCGCACATGGGGCTTTGCTTTTTTGTGGACTGATTGCTGGCATGCCACGGACCGGTACTGGTCCACAAACTGGGGGTTGGGGACCCCTGATTTAGATTATGAACTGTCACATATATTAAAAAGATGTTAAATGAATTGGATAGTATTTCTGCAGAGTAAATAGGGAAATAGTATTGAGCCTGCATATGCTGTGAGAAACAATTGTATCATTAAGCAACCTTGAGCAGAACAATTTATAATAGACAACTAAGATTCTTGTTTGCAAAGCTGAGTTTATGAAAAGTTGGCAATGACATTAGCCAATCTTCTTCTTACCGCTTCAATGCAAAATTAAGTTATGTTCTTCCATCAACAATTCATATGTAGGAAAATCAAAGCTCTCTGTACTCAGAAACATAAAAGCACAACCTCCCTCCCAAACCCACACCAGACTCATTTATCAAATGAAACTACAGCACACAAGAGACCCATAGAAACCTGCAATTTACTAGAAAGAATAGGCACTCAATAACCACACTTGGATTTCTCACCTTTTTATTATCTACTCTCAACAGAAAGAAGAAAGAAACTGGATGAAATGCTCAACCTGCAAAGGAACAGACAAAATATGTGATAATGCATCCAGGATCCTCTGGCAGCCCAACAGCTGAGAATTTGTTAGTCTTCCCATATGCAAAAGCTCAAAATACACACAAAGAATGGACTGCACAATAATTCTTCACCATAGAAAAGTGCCTTTAATCTCATGGCATTCTAAAGTCCCCTAAAATAGGAGACTATTCCTGTATTTTTATTTTTTTTTAGAAAAAAGATGAGGGCAAAGGCAGATTTAAAAACAAAAGAAAACTTACCCCTGACAGTCCGTAACCACCAAGAAACCTTTCACCTTTGAAAGCTTTTATAGGCTCTGATTCTTCTCTTAGCTCAACCCTTTCCCCTATATGGAAATTAGAGACCAGCCCTGCAATCTCTTGCCACTTCTACCTTAGTTTTTTCTCATGTAAATGTATTTTTAGAAATGACCAAGTTCACTATTTATCAGTTCTGATACCTAGCCACAGGGCAATCTTGTAAATGTACCTCTTATAATCTTGGAAGGCAAGAACATCGTAGGAAGGAGATTGTCTGATACAAGGCTTCTTACATGTTTATGATAGTTCTGTAGCTCTCCTCATATGCTAGTACTAATATGAGCTAATTTTGGATCAATATACATTAAGAGAACAAATATATATATTTAGCAAAAATTCAGACAAAGTTCTGGGCTGAGAATTATGCAAAGGCTAATTTGTGGCTGTGACAGCAGATATCCCACCATACACACAATATATTGGGTGTGAATACTCAATATGCATAGCCACACAGTTTAATAAGAGAGCTTTGTTAAGCTAATACTGGGGAATATATAAATATATACAGCATATGGATAAGGGCAATAATATATTTGTTCATTTTCTGTTGGTTGTAGTCATGAGAGATTATAAGCAAAGAACCTAGAATCCTCTTTTGTGTGCAACAAAATGAAGTACTAAAGAGAGAATGATTGAATTTTTAAAAAAGGTGACAGCCAAGAAATAAATAGTTACAAGGGTTTGGGTGGAAAGGATATAGCTTTAAATGAATAAAATACCTACAGTATGCATTATAATATTAGCAGTCCTTAATAGTCGGTAAAGAACTAATTACTTCTAACACCTATAGATTTGTCCATTAAGTCTTATTATTGATTTATCACTGTCTCTGTAGGCATGACTTCCTAACTAAGCATGCCAAAGAATCACAACAATGCTTTCCTCAAACAGAGGAACAGCTGATAAAAGCAGCCGTTGTGTAAAGCAAGACATCCAAATGAGTAACTGAGGACAAATATATTAAATGGGAAATCTCCCAATTGTCCATTCACTCCACAGCAATTCCAGAGTTGCAGAACTCAGCTGTTTTGTTAGTAAGTTTTGTAATAATAATGAGCTTCCCAAAGCAAACAAGATTCATCTCTTGTTACTATAAATCATTAAACAATGAAACCAATGCTAGAGACAAAACCATCCCGGACAATAACAATATAGAAACTAAAGGGTTATACTTTTTTAAAAAGTCTAATAAAAATGAGTCCTGTTCTGGACAAAATAGCTATCCAAGAAATGCCAAGGTGAAAAGTTTGCCTTTGGTAGTCATTTAGACGAAGACTTCATGGGACCAGCTGGATAGAAGTCATTACTGAGGGGCTATCATGAAGAAGACACTGCTGTGGACCACTGCCCAATAAATCAAGCCCACTTGTGGGACTTTCGGTTTTCAGTTAGGGAACATGCTTCTAGCCTTTGTGGAACTATAATTTAGCTCAGAAAAGCTAAATAAAACCCAGAGCTTCTAATTTTAGTAAATGAGTCTTAACCTCTTTAGCATTGAAGACCACCCTCCACATTGCATAACATCATAAGACTCTCAGGAAGAAGGCTGCTTTGTTGTCTAGCTCAACAGCAGAAAGAGAAATGCATTGGGAGCAACAAATACACTCATAGGTAATATTGAATTTATGTATATTCAGTGCCAGATAGTGATTGTTAAGGTACTATTGCTTAGAGATGTTGAATAGAAATTGTTATTGCACACACTAGAATAATCCTTTGATATTTCGGACATTAGTTATTTTCAAACAGCACTGGCAAAAATGTTTATCGGCCTTTCCCTCTTGCCAACCTTACCAATACAAGCCTGTATTGAAGCTTCTCAAATGCCCAATGCCCAGATGAATCCATGCAAGCAGGGCAGAAGTAAGGAAGAAACATTATGGTATTCTCCACTCTTTCTTAGCCAATTGTGTTGGGGCCCAAATTTTAATCACATGGCCATGGTGATGCTGTAATAAATGTAACTCTGAGGACTGCGTTACTTTTTTCAGTGCCATTATAATTTCGAACAGTCACTAATCAAATGGTTGTAAGTCAAAGACTATTTGTATAAGACTTGCACATATCCCCTTGCCCTGCACTGATCAATTCTTTAGGCTCCATTATTCCAAAAGCTCTCTCAGACTATCTGCACCTCTGTTCCTTTGCTTCCACACCAAACAGTACTACAATTAGTGCTTTGAGCCTAGCTCAAAGTCTTCCTTAGACACTGCCTTGACCATGTAGAAATGTTGACTCTAGGAGAAACCTTCCAAACCAAGGATCTACATTTTCAAGGGGAGTTCAATCCTATCTGGAGTCAGTGTAGAGCAGCGGTTCTCAACCTGTGGGTCGCGACCCCATTTGGGGTTGAACGACCATTTCACGGGGGTCACCGAACAACGCAGTCTGCCATTTTTTTCCCTTTTCCTTAGCTGTGCTACTCCCTTTTATTCTATTGGCTTTTGAAAGCCAATAGAATAGCCTCTCTTGAATAGAGTCCAATTCTATTGGCTTTCAAAAGCCAATAGGAATTGTCCAGGCTGTCTCTGCCCTGCTGAGCCCGCCAAAAGTCCCATTTTGCAAACGGTGCTGCAAGTTGTCTGCAGCAAAAGTGAGCTGTTTGGAAGTTTCCACCCCTCCCTGCTGAGCAACTACTAAAAATGTAAGTAAAAGGGCCAGGGGTGGGAGGTGGGAGGCCGGTGGGCACAGGGAGGGTTGCTGGCACGCGTGGGGCCTGGCGGGTGCCTTACCTCCCTTGGGCTGGGCTAGCTGATGGCCCAGCCAGTGGTCGGCCTGCTCCGTCTCTGCCACTTGCCAGCTACGCCTCGGCCGGCGCAGGGGGCAGCACCACACATGTGTGGCGCTCCTGGGCAGGGAAAGTCCTCGACTTATGACCGGTTGGGTAGTCTTCGACTTATGACCAGTTGGGTAGTCCTCGACTTACGACCGGTTGGGGTCGCGGCATTAAAAAGGTTGAGAACCACTGGTGTAGAGGCTAGTACCAAACTTAACATTTCTGTGTAAATAGGAACTCTGTGTTACTAGGTTGCAATTTCAACTTATTTCATGTTATTTTTTTATATTTTTTAATTAAATTTATATAGCAGCCCATCTCACATACATGACTCTGAGAGATACCAGTATACAATGCATAAAATCATGTAAAATAATACAATTACATATTTGTTTACACTGCCTAGAATTGTGTAATTGTTGTATTATTTTTTTTATAACTGTTTTATTTGATTTTATATTTCGTATGTTGCCCAGAGTCATTTATGTGAGATGGACAGGAGAATGGATCAGCATCTTAGACACAAGTACCAGATTTTGAGGGATTTCCTGAATGACAATAAGGTCAGGGCCAATCCACTTTACCTCAGGTGATTCATCCCATCCTGCCCCTTATTACCTCTACACCTCAGGTTAGAACACCATCCACTGCATCTCTTTCCAGTCGTGGATATAACTAGATATCATCAGCACATTAATAAATATCTCACTAATGAAACTTAACTCCAAAATGATTAATGACTTCATCCAGTTCAGTGGTACTCTTCATCACTCCTCTTCCTTCATCATCTAAAACCATTGGCTCAGTAGTAGTAGAACTATTGCAAGATAGAACTATTGTGCTCAACCTTAAAGGTGGTTTAGCCTATGGTATCCAGCACAGCTAAGAGAACCATTAATTCAGAAGTGTTGCACTCTGCCATCCAGGTCCTAGTGGACACACTTCACAAAAGTGACCAGTATATTTTCAATCTCATGCCTAAATCTGGATCCCAACATAAAGGAACCTAAATAAATCATTTCATTCATTTCATTTCACACAGGATTATTTATAGCCACTGCCCCACCACCCTTCCCCAAAGAGGAAGGTTAGAGAACATCTACACTTCTTCAAAGAAGCATACATCACCTCTCAAATTCACCCTACTTGCCTACCCAAATGAGGCAGTCAGGTATGAATCCAATCTATAGCTCAGAGCTCATGCTGTCAAGAACTTTGTCCAACTGTTCAGAATCCAAAAAACATCAAAAAGACAAATTACCTAAAAAGACATTGTCTCAGTTATCACTGTTGTTTCTTTAACAGTGCTTTTGGACAATATTCTGTGAACAAAATGAGAGTAGGGAAGTAATAATGCTTCACAACCTTCATTGCCATGATGTAAGCCTGAATATGGGCTTGTATTTAGTTTTGATTATTCCACATCTTTTGTCACCATTACTGAAAGCATCACTTCAGCAATTCCAGAGCTCCCAAATAAACCACAAAGCCCCCTGTGGAGCAATTGTGTTCACTACTCTCATCATTTCTACATTCCAGAAATGGACAATGGCATATGGTAGAATTGTCTAACATATTTTTGGCCAAATCCCAAAGCATGACCTGCTGAAAACTAAGCACATCCATTAGACTTCCAGGAGGGACCATCTTAATTGGTTCCCCCTGTCCCACACATCTCTTGCTATCAGCCCCACTAGATAGAGCAAACCAGGAAATCAATTCCACCATAAGCAAAAAGTACCTCTATTGAGATTGGCTACAATAACAGAATTTACAAGTTAGAAATGTGTTGTACCTTTTCCTCCTCCATATAGTTCAGTGAATTAGGGAGACTCTGAGCTACTTCTGAACATTATCTTCTTGTTCTGGACTTTAAAAATGCTTCTTCCCCTTTTACCTAGGTAAGCAGTCTTGCATATTTACATTAAGATCATCTTCATTGTCCTCTACATTTGCAGAGGTTAGTGATACTGATAAGCCAGAGACTGACCAGAAAATGATCTATCCATGATAAAATACCAATATCCTCCATTGTTACATTACAAGTCATCTGTTCTGTGGTAAAAGATAACAACTGGAGAGAATCCAATACTGTACCAGCTCCAGAAATTCAGTAAGGGATGCAATCAAGCAGCAGGGTGGGTTGAATAGCTCAACCTCAGTCTGCATCCAATCACCAGTGGAGCAAAACATCTACTCACAGCTAAGGTCTCTTGAATATCATTGTCACCCTCTCTGGCCTTGGATCTATGGCTCATGAATCAGCTGAAACCCAGATGGGCAAATTTCAAACAGTTAAAAATGATAGTAAGTGGTTTGTACCCTCAGACTTGCAAGATTTTGTTCATGTAGATCGTTGCTTAGTAAATTTAGCTCATCTAGTTTCCTGTCTGGTTTACCTAAGACAAAACATGAATTCCTCTTTTATGATTCCCCTGGTCTTGGCCTGAAGATAAAGCAGGACAAGTGAGATGAAAACTGGTTAAAAGTCAGTTGAGAAAATAAGGAGATGGTCCTTTTACTGTTTAGTGTCATTGTTTTCCTTGGCTCCTTCCCTTTTCCAACCTGCTTTATTCTAGTATGTTTGCTTTCCTTCAGGTGCATCACCTCCTCTCTCTCCATCTATAAGCTCATTTAAGTCCTATTTTCCATCAACCCATGACTCAATTATCTTCATGTGAATTCTACCCTAAGCTTCAAAATTAAACAAGGGCTGAACTCAGCTTATCAGTCCAGTTTTTGAAATAGATATGTCTTCTGTGTTCTAATATGTTTATGAAGAGACAAATAACATGGCTGCATCCCAGAGAATGAATTACATTTGGCTCCAGATAGAACAAGCAGGATACTCTCGTTCAAGAATGGTCATAAACTGTGACATCTCTCATGAAAAATGAATTCTTAGAATCCTCCCTAAGCCTGTAGGATGAGCTCTGTCTTTTTTTAGCAGTGGCCTTCTGTGTGCTCAAACTCCTTTTGAATGTACTGCTGAGTTTGTATTAGGCGTCCAAGAAAAACTCCAATAGTAGAAGCATCCATTTTATGCAAGTCTTCAAACATGAAGACAGGGCTTTGCAGGTCACTTTCATTAGAGGAACTAGAAAAGGAAGACCTTCGTAGAGTGTACAGACTCATCAAGCTGAAAAAGTAAGTTCAGGATCTAAGTATCTGCAGAGCCACCTTCTCCTGGAGATGTAAAAGAGACAATCCCTTCCAGATCCCTATTATTTCATCTGTGGAGGATCTCTGGGTCAGTCCTTCTTTATCAGTGCTCCCATTCCCTGGAACATCCTTCCTGCTGATATCAGATGGACCCTAATTCTGTTAGCTTTTTGCAACCTGGGTATTTGAGCAGGCCTTTCAGGTCTGACAGATTATTCTTGTTTCTTCTGGAGGGGCGGTGGCTGTACATATAGGCTGTGATTGCTCTCAACATTGGATGGGTTCCTCAGCGCTGTAATAATGTGATGTTTTTAGTCTTACCACCTTTGTGAAGGGTGCTAAGCCAATCAGTCCAATATGGTGTGGTTTCCTAATAAAATAAATATACTGTAAGTAAGTAAGTAAGTAAGTAAATGTTTAGAGAGGCACGGTGGCTCAGTGGTTTAATGGTGCTGGAGAAGATCTGTATTCCAGTAGCTTGAGTTCTAGCACCACATGACAGAGCGATCACTTGCATAAGCTTCTGCCAACCTAGTAGTTTGAAAGCATGTTGCATGCAAGTAGATAAATAGGTACCACGTCAGTGGGAAAAAATGGCACTTCAAGCAGAAGTACAAGCCCAACCAATGCCAGACCTACCCGAATGCAGTGACGAAATGTCAGGTGAAATTGGTGGTTGGAAAACCCCAGATGATACTGGAGAAAGCTATCAAGTCTTATGAGTGTGAAGCTAGTTTGCCCTCATGGTGCACTCTGGATAGTGTGCAGGTATGAACTGAATGAACTAGCAATCATTGGCAGCCAAGCTACTTTGTATTAACACTGTAGTCTTCTGGCTAAGTAACATTGCCATAGGCTAAATAAATAAATAGTAAATGTATGTATGTAGGTCTAAATTCATAGGAGCTGTTTTTGGAAACCAAAGACAATATTTCATCTTTTCCTCTAACAGGTTTTGCTATTCATTAAGAAGCAGAAAATAAAGAAGAAATTCAGTAAAAGCTGAAGTCCTAACTTGAAGGTTCCTGTCCTTGTGAGTATTTCATGGTAGTATAATCAGAATAATAACTTGAAGTTATTAGCTGCAACTATCAAGACATAAAACTTTGTGAATTGTTACTTTTATATCACTTCTGACTAAAATATAGCTAATGTAAAGTAGGATTGGGAAATTCTGAATTTTTGTAATTGACTTTAATCTGTTTTCTGAGCATTCTAAAAAGCAGAGACATCACCCTGCCAACAAAAGTACGTATAGTCCAGGCCATGGTTTTCCCAGTTGCAATGTATGGCTGTGAAACCATACATTGGACCATAAGAAAGGCTGAGCGCCAGAGAATTGAGGCCTTTGAACTATGGTGCTGGAGAAGACTCCTGCGAGTCCCTTGGACTGCAAGGCGTTCAAACCGGTCAGTCCTAGAAGAGATCAACCCCGACTGCTCTTTAGAAGGCCAGATCCTGAAGTTGAAACTCAAGTACTTTGGCCACCTAATGAGAAGGAAGGACTCACTGGAGAAGGGCCTAATGCTGGGAAAGATTGAGGGCAATAGAAGAAGGGGACGACAGAGAATGAGATGGCTGGATGGAGTCACTGAAGCAGTAGGTGTGAATTTAAATGGACTCCAGAAGATGGTAGAGGACAGGAAGACCTGGAGGAATGTTGTCCATGGGGTCGCGATGGGTCGGACACGACTTCGCAATTAACAACAACAACTGTTTTCTGTGGGCCACAATTGTACTTCACTGCTCACTGCCCACTAAATCCCAATTCAACAGCCAAGTTGTAAAATAAAGTTGTCAACGGCCAGCATTAAAAGCTTCATCATTAATGACAAAATATTTTTTTAAAAGTTTTAGGCACAGCCCTTTACCACCAGTTAGGTTTCCTATTACAAGCAAGCTCCTCGCAGAGAAGTTTTTTTAAAAAAATACACAAGTAATATAAATGCTTCTACCTATTAGTTTCTTTGGTGAAAAAAAGATGAACTATTATAGCCACAGCTGTGATCCTGAAACAATTAGGAAGGATTTAAGACATGTTTTCTAAATGGGACTTGTGGCCTTCAGGAACACCATTATTGGGACAATCAACTTGGGATATTAATACCGGGCAAAAGAACTGTGTTACATAACTAGCAGTTAGCATGCCATTATAATCCCTTGATGGTTATGTAGCACTTATTATCAGCATAATCCAGAAGCAGAATGTTGTAAAAGACAGTAAAAAATCTTAGTTACCTAGAAATTGCTTTTCAATAACATTTTAGAAGATGAAAAGTTCTGAAGATTTCAAAAACCCAACATAATTACCTGGTTCAGAAATAAGATCAGAATGGTAGGTATGATCTAAGTCAGAGGTGTCAAACTCAATTTCATTGAGGGCTGCATCAGCATTGTGGTTGCTCTCGGGGGGGCGGGGTGTGTGGCCAGGGTGGGTGCAGCTTACTTGGTGGGTGTGGATGGAGTGGGTGTGGCCTATTGGATGGGCATGGCCAGCTCTACTTTGTTCACATCAAGGGTGCCGGTGGAGGCAGGAGTGGGACAGATCTGAGGTCTCTGGCAGAAGGGGGTGGGACTAGGGTAACTGCCAAGGCATGGTCCACTGGAGGAGCCTCATCATTCCTCTCAGGCCATGTGGGGGGGATGGATGGTGGTGCGGACTGCCCGGAGCCCTGGGCAGCAGAGGTCAAATGCCCAGCCTGGCCCTCAGGCACCCACGGCACTCATCACTTCCCCACGGGGGCCCCCAGCTGCACTTACCTCCACCTCAAGGCTGCTGCTGCTGTGCTTACTCTCCTTAGCCAGGTTGCTCATGATGGTTACGAGGGCAAAGTTAGAGGGAGGTCCATTCCCTCTCCATGGGAGGAGACCCAGCTTTGTATCCAAAGCTTCCTTAGCAATAGGATGGGAGACCCCCAGGATAGGCCAGGAGGAGGGGGCAAGGGGATGGTGAAAGGGCAGCAGGGCAGGACTAAGGCAGGACTTCCCTCAGACCTTCCCTCCTTCTTTCCTTTCTTCCTTCCTAAGTCCAGAGTGGTAGGAAAATATTTGAGATGAGGGAGAGAGAAAAACAGGCAAGAAACACAGCTGGGGAGGTGAGGAATGAAGAAATGCACCATCGCCTGGAAATGGCCAGCACATGGCCCTCACCTACTTCACATATCTGGCTTGTTGGGCTCTGGGGGAGGGGATGCCATGAGCAGTGTGAGAGTCAACATTACCTGTGCAATTCCACCAAGCCCCCAAGTAGCAAGGCACTCTCCTCACAGTGCCAAGAGGCTGAACCAGGTAGCACAAATCCAAAAAGAAGTGCGATGTCACCCAGCCCCCAGCCTGCTTGGTTTGGGCAGGTAATGGGGCACTCTCCTCACAGCGCCAAGAGGCTGAACCAGGTGGCACGAATCCAAAAAGAAGTGCTATGCTGCCCAGCCCCCAGCCTGCCCAGTTTTGGCAGGCCACAAAGCGCTCTCCTCACAGAGCTGAGAGGTTGAGCCGGGCGGTGCAAAGCTCACCAGCTTTACATCTTGCTGCCTGCTGAAACTGGGCAGGCTGGGGGCTAGGCAGCATTGCACTTCTCATCAGTTTTGCTCTTGGCGCTGTGAGGACAGCGTCCTGCTGCCTGCCGAAACTGGGTAGGCTGGGGGCTGGGTGGCGGTGTGCTTCGTTTTGGATTTGCGCCACCCGGCTCAGCTTCTTGGCACTGTGAGAGCACCCCGCTACCTGCTGAAACCTCTCTCCCGGAGCCCATCAAGCCAGATATGTGAAGTAGGTGAGGGCCATTTGCTGGCCACTTCCAGGTGATGGTGCATTTCTTCATTCCTCACAAAGGTGACAGCATGCACCCAGGGGGTGGGGCAGGGGCTGGTTCCTTGTTGTTTCCAGATGGTCTTGTGGAGCTAAGATTGAATGCATTTCAGCATAGATGGCCACCACAGAATTGTACATTGACTCCTGCCTGGCCTAGGCAAGGGCCAAGGCAGCGGGAGCCATTTCCTCATGTTTCCAGGATGGCTTCACAGGCCACATGAAACCACTTAGCGGGCCACATCCGGCTCCTGGGCCTTGTGTTTGACATGTGTGATCTAAGTCTTACCAATTAAAGAGAGCCATGTCATGGGGTCCTGCAAGCATGTCTTTTCCTTGTTGACCTTTGCCTCTGAAATATCACCCCCACCTTGCTGTCTTTTAATAAAGTTCCAAAATCCTGGCTTTTCAAGGAAACTGGGGACCAACGTAATTTATATTCCCAAGTAGTAGAAGATGGACACTTCATTGTTCTGTAGGGTCTTCAGATACTCTAGAAATATAAATAAGTAAGTAACTTGTGCAAAATGCTGCTGATCTTAGACTTTGTGAAGTTTTTCTTATAGGTTTTTTTTTTTAAAAAAAAATCCATCTCTCAATAGCTGCTAAAAATGTTAGAAGCCTATATAACAGGTAACATAAAAATGACAATTATTCCTTTTTAAAACTGAAGTAAACCAAGAATTTAACAAACTTCTGTGGAACTGGATCAGGGGAAATCATTATAAGATACAGAAGACCATATGTTTCTTATGTTTTTTTTTTAATATTATTGAGATTTTGTAGAAGTAATTTTGGTAAATATAGGTAATCCGCATTTAGCAAAAAATATCGGAACCGGTAAAACAGTGATTACAGAACTGCAAAGGTCATAAATGTAAGAAATCTATAAAATTATTTTTTCATCCCTGTGGTAACTGCTAACAGTTGCTAAACAAGGCAGTCGCTAAATGATGACTACCAGTAACCTAAATCGTTCCTTGCATCTTGCTTTTCCTAAGAAAAGAAAGGATATGTCATGTTCCCATCTCCAAATTTTTCCCACAAGACTCCTGTGGGATATGTTACACTGAGTGTAAATGACTTCCCAAAATCACCCAGTAGATTTTTATGACTTAGGGACACCTTTGTTCTACAATGAACTGGTTGTTCACTTTTGAAGTAACTCTGTGAAACAAGATTATTTTCAAACATTGCTAAACCGTTTCAATGTATTTTATTATTGTTTATATTTATTTTTTCTTGCTAGAAAATTTGTATTACTCAGGGGTTCTATAAAGTAATAAATAACTCAACGTCAGAACAGAAAATTTGACATGTCTGAGTTTCTTATCTAGATATTGATATGAACGAAGACAGTGATGTGTTAGGAAATGTAATGTGAGAGTAAATTAATTTTCATTCAGATAGTTAGCATTCAAATTTTCTTTACTGGATTGTGGCAAACACGTAGAAACCAGAATAACCAAAAAGGTCACAGCAGGTGGGGCTGCTATGAAGATAGGAATTTGAAAGTCTCTAGCAGCATGCTTATATTTCAGATTTAATTAGTTGCACCAACAATACAAAACAATCCAGCATTCTTCTAAAATGTATAATATACCAACGTGGAAAGTAGCACCCATATAAAATACATGCTGAAAGTTAAAACATTTTTCAACAAAAACAGCTTATCAAAGAAAGACACAACTAAACAGCTAGATTCTTTATAAGTTTTATAGGAACGTCTTCAGGGGTGTCTATCGACTTTCAACAGGATCTAGGTTTTCTTGAGGGTTGAGCTAAATGCTTAAAATAAGAAAGATGACACTCTTGTGCTAGGATATGTTTTTGTGTTGAAATTCTCTATAAGGAATCAAGAAAAATAGCTGAACACATTTTACTTATTTACTTTATTCATTTATCAGATTTAGAGACCACTCATCTCACTCCCGTGAGACACAACCTCCAATTTTACATTACAATCATTTCATTACATTGAGTACAGTTGTATTTAGTATCCTTTCCTGTTAATTCCATTGCCCTAAGTCTTATCCTTTTTTCTTGCAGTTGTATATAGCACAAAGCCCTGGATACTGGCATGCCCCCTCGAATCTATTTTGGCATTCCCATAAAAAGTGTGTGCTCTTCTTGCTCTTCTCTCTCTGGTTTGATTGGCCACAAAGAAGCCCACCTGTGCTGTCCTTCTCCTTTGGAATGTCTCAAGTCCTTCGACTTCATCTGGCGCATTGTCATTCCATTGGTCAAGGTCCTTTTTCTGGCACTCTGTGTTGCATACCAGAAATGCAATTGCTTCTCAAGGAGACAAATGGAACTACAGCATTTCATTCCAAAGGAGCTTCTATCATGATGTCCTGGCGTAGGATGGCATAGGCAAAACACTGAGGGGAGGGGCCGGAAAGGAGCAGCTATTCTCAAGAGATCCTACATTATGGTGAAAAGGTTTGAATTCAAAATAGATGTTTAAAATTAGATGCGTAATAGCAATCAAAGAAAAAATGTTGATGTTGCTCAGTGCTCTTGATAAAATTCAGTGCTCGCCATAGCAATTTTGCTATCATTAAAATCTCTATCCAAGATTTTTGCTATTATAGGCTCTACATTAATACATAAAATCTCCACCCATGTGCCAATGTCCTTGCATCATTGAAATGAAGATGGCTTTAATGATGGAAGTTATTTGCTTGCATATCTTTTTTCAGGAATAGGACTGCAACTTCAAAGTCTTTTTAAAACTGCTCAGGCCAGAATGACTATTCTTCTTCTTTTTTTTTTAAGAAAAAAACACAGTAGAACTCATTTTCAGGACTAATACTCTGACAAATCAAATTTTATAAAGATTGTGAAAATACCTCACAATGAAGTAAGGGCTTGTAGCATTTGGTGATACAATTGTGCAAAGCTTTGGCTTAGATGTGATGTTCTGTTGTTTTATAATAATTGTTGGTAATGGACTTTCTGCAGCAAATCTATGGTATTTTCTTTTTTCTTATTTATAATGCTGATCAAAGACTCTAAGCAATAAAGTTATTTCAATGATAATAAATCATAGCTACCAAACAATTTTAGGTAACATAAAATGCACCTACTATAGACATTCAGGAACAGTTTTTGTAACGGGTTCTTTAACCAGAAAGTGATTCCATCTGTAAAGCTCACTTTCCTACATTACCCAGACTGCCAATTTACTTATATTGTCTTTGAGTTCAACTCTTCTCCTTAACCATACCTAGGCATAAATTCAAAATGCCTATTGCTCATAGACCAGTTGACAATGAAGGAGAAAGAGAGGCATCAGTGGCATAGTTCTTTGCTAGATGCCTCACTTAGTTTTTAAACAGGCACCAGAATACATTCCTAAGGGAAAAAAACCTGAAATCTATTATGTCATCTATGAAAGCTATTGCATCAGAACAGAAACTAATGCAAAAGAGCTCCTTACTCTCTTAAAGCATTCTATTCATAATCATTTGTGTGCATAAATATGGTAGCATGAAATGTTCATAAGGTTTAAATTCCCACAGGCTATCCTAAAGCACATATCAATAAAACAAAGAAATGTCAATTTTGAAACCCAGCTTAAACCAAGATTGAAATGGAAAAGATGATAGTTCTGTAGTACAGCATGATTTTAATATTGAAGGCTCCGGCATAGATGCTTATTGTTGGAAGGAGCTTTTTAGCCTTTTGAGACCAGCCCTGTACTCAGTATAACAGTCCAAGCATCCCTGATAAGTAGCTGTCTAGACTCTGCTTGAACACCTGCATTTAAATATTTTATGTTGAATGTTGTGGAGCACTTCATCAAATATTTTGCTAGAATCAAGCTATGGTAGATCTATAGTCTGTAAGGAAGTTAGTAAAAATTAAGAGCCAGCTTGGTCTAGTGCAGGAGTAGGCAACCTTGGCTCTTTTATGACTCGTGGACTTCAACTCCCAGAATTCATGAGCCAGCCATGCTGGCTCAGGAATTCTGGGAGTTGAAGTCCACGAGTCATAAAAGAGCCAAGGTTGCCTACCCCTGGTCTAGTGGTTAAGGCATCAGGCTAGAAACTGGGAGACTGTGAGTTCTAGTCCCACCTTAGCCATGAAAGCCAGTTGAGTAACTTTGGGTCAGTCTATCTCAGCCCAACCCACCTCTCGGGATTGCTGTTGTGGGGAAAATAGAAAGGGGAAACTATTTTGGATACACTTGCTGAGGCTCTGCTTTTTCTTCCTTATGTGTTAAATGATATAAGAGAATATTTGTAACTCAATTTAAACTGTGCTCTCTGAGCTTGGTGCTGTCTGAGCTTGGTGGTTTTCTTGCAGATGTTTCAATACCCAACTAGGTAACATCATCAGTGCCAGAACGGAATGGGGGTTGCTTTTATTTTTACGTACTGGTGGCTTGTCCAGTCAGTATTGGTAGGAGTAGTTTTACTACTTGATTCCTTGATTAGACTGTTGTTTATTGCTGGCTTGTTTGTGTTTGTATCAGTTTCCAATCAAGGAAGTACCAAATGATGAATTTGTTAAATGCATACTTTTTTATACTTTTTAATGCATTCATTAAATGTAGAAACTTTTGTTGAGATTTGAAATGGAGGAAGAGCAAGACAAAGACCGTATGGTAAAATGGGCCAAGAATTTTGGTGATAATATTCAAATGGATCAATGGGAAAGAATGTAAAAGACCTGAAATTCACATTATATTACAATTTAAAATAAAACTTAAAAAATATTATGCATTATTGGTATGCAATAACAAAGAATTTGTCTAAGATGTATAAAGGTACTTCTAATCACTGTTGAAAATGTGAAAAATGTGAAGGGATATTAGATCGTGCTTGGTGGACTTGTGAAAAAACAAAATGATATTGGATACAAGTACAAGTGGTGATGAAGAACATTTTAAAAATTAACATTCAGATGAAATCAGAATTTTTCTTATCAGAAATTATGGCCACTCATCTAGAAAAGACTCTTAGACAATGGGTTTTATATATGCTTAACTGCAGCGAGTTATTATATGCACAATGGAAGATGGAAGACTAAAGAAACATCAGTAATGAAGGAATGGATAGTGAAGATGGCTAAGTTTACAATAATGGCTAAATTGATGTTTTGATTGAGGAGGGTACTACAATTACTTATATAAAAACTGAAAACCCTTTATAGATTTTTTTTGCTAAAAGTGGATTAAATTGCTGCTGACGATTTCAGGATTTGTTTTAAAAGATTTGTTTAAGGGAACTATGATATATAAACATGGGAGACTGGAGATGACAATTGTTATGTGAATACCTGCTGCAAACATCAGAAGTTGTTTCTTTAGATACGTTTCTTTCTTCTTTTTTGTTATTCACTTTTTCTGTTATGCTTTTATAATCTTTTTCTGGTCCTTTTTGTTTCTGTAGTTTTCAAAAAATATTTGTAAAATCTTATTCTAATGAAAATTATAAAAATTAAAACAAAAGTCACCAGGCCAAACAGGAGCTGAACTTAGTGTCTCCAGTATATTGTTTTCTTAGACTCTGAAGCATAACTTTCTCAGGTCCCTGGAGCAATCCCTCCTGAGTTACTTCCACAGCTTGGAAGAATCAACTGCCTTTGCCCACTCAACCAATTCTAATTCACACAATAAGCATACTAATATCCATCTTCTGAACTAGTTTGACTCCCCAACTTCAAAGGAACTATGGGTTCAGGAAGTCACGGAACACATTAAACTGGCACAGCCAAAAAGTACTGGAAAGCAGCTATTGATAGAATTTTTCTCTTCCTTCTGCAAACCTATAGAATCATAGGTCTAGAAGGGACTTGGGCATCTTCTAGTCCAAGTCCCTGCCCAAGGCAGGAGACCTTATGCTATCCTGGATAAAAGGATGTCCAATTTTATTGAAAATTTCCAGTGATAGAGCATTTAGAACTCTAGGAGGCAAGCTGTTCCATTGATTAATCCTTTTCACTGCCAGAAACTTCCTTCTTATTTCCAGATTGGATCCCCTTCTGATGAGCTTTCACCTATTGCTTCTTGTCCTGCCCTCAGGTGCTCTGGAGAATAAACTGAACTCCTCTTCCCTGTGACAGACCTTCAAGTATTGGAAGATTGCTGTCAGCTCTCCCCTAAACCGTCTCTTCTTCAGGCTACACGTACCTGGTTCCCATAACCATCCATGATAAGAATTAGCCTCCAGACCTCTTATCATCTTTGTTGCTGTTTTCTACTCTTATGAAAAATTGTCTACCACAAGATCTCAAGAACCAGATGGAAAGTATACCAGTTTTCCTTTACTCTCTGTTCCTTCTGGTCTATTTACTACCTTTCTGGGTAAAGTGCCTTTTCAGGCCCCATTTTTACATCTCAAAATATCTAACCTACAACAGAAAGACATACCGTAAATGCCGGCGTACAAGGCAACCCGGCGTATAAGACGACCCCCGTCTTTATAGCCGGGCCGCATTCCTAGAACGTCGTCTTATACGCTGGAAACTACCAGTATTTCCAGCATATAAGACGACTCAGCGTATAAGACGACCCCCGTCTTTGGCGCCGATTTCAGCGCTCGCGGATGTCGCCTTATACACCGGCATTTACGGTACACACCTTTCATTTCTACGGCCATTCCAAAATTTCTGTAGTCTCCCTGCAAAAGACTTATACAGAGTATGTTTCATCCATTCTCTCCACTACCCCCACCACCCAATGGCAGGGATGGCTCATTATCATTCCATCAATATTACCTATTATTTCCACATGGAATACCACTTGCCAATTGACTGCTACTTTTCTTTTCATTGCCATTTTTGAATGACTGTGTGCTTTGTGGAACCTGTTTTTTATTTTCATGGCTAGTCCCGCAACACTGTTTATGCTGTTATTCCATACCAGTCTGCTGTTTTGCTCTATTCCTTAGTTCCCAAATGGTCCTAATTGATGAAAAACCCATCACATCTTCAAAGACCAGTGTTACAAGAAGATCTTTGAAAAGAAGTCTGAGATGAAGGAGTCTGCATTTCTTCTCTTGTTTTTCACCTCTGCTATCCCCCTACCCCATTACACAAAAGTGATTCTGTTTTGGTCACATTTTGGGAGGCAGTCTTGATGGAAACTGACAGTAGGACAAAGACCAGTGTGTTGAAATGGAGATCCCTTCATTTTAAACATTCAGTGATTCTAAAGAGCAATCCACTGTATCATATAATAAACTATAATGTCTGTACAGATTTATTGTTGTCAGCATTGTCAGTGTACGAATAAAAGGTCAATAAAAGCAAAGAAGACTGTAATCCCAGAAAATATGTACTTCTACTTGCAAAATCCTGGCTTAAGAATGTTGCCTAAAAAAATTAAATATGGATTTCCCAGTGTGGAATCTTGGGAAAGAAGGAATCTAGAAAGCATTCCCCTTGAAATTCTCTAAGATCCTGGCCTGAATTATCCTTTTTATATTTTTGAAATGCTATTTTTTTTTTATCTTATTGAAAAAATTGATATGGCTGCCTGTCTGGCTGCACTAACTCTGGATGACCAATAATCCAGTTAAAATTGTCAGTGCACTAGAGTTCCAAAAATGCCAAGCCCTATTGATCCTACAAACAACAGAGCCCAACAACAGCAAGCCCAATATTTACGGGAAGGATATGCAAAATGCCAGCCTCCAGCATATTTATTTACAGAAAACTACTGAGATCTTTCAAAAGTTCTCCAAAAATTTACATCATGGACTACTGTTCCCAAAGCTGGGTGTGAATGTGTACTTACCACCCCATGAAGAAAGGATAAAGTGAAACAAGGATAGTTATTGAATAGTTGATAGTTATACAGTTAGCAATAGTTATCAAAGGGACACAATGGCTCAGCGGAAGGAGGCACAATGGTTAAGTGGTTAAGATGCTGGCATTGCCAGCTGGAAAGCCGACTGCCTGGGTTATTGAGACCCAAGCCCCACACGATGAGGGTGAGCTCCCGTTACTAGCCCTAGCTCCTGCCAACTTAGCAGTTCAAAAGTCTGCAAATGCAAGTAGATAAATACAGTAGGTACTGCTTCAGTGGGAAGGTTACTGCATTCCAAATTTTCATGCTGGCCACATGATGATGGAAGTGTCTCTCAGACAACGCTGGCTCCCTCGGCTGAAAATCAGAGATGATCACCACTCTCTTAAGTCGGTCCCGACTGGGCAAGGGAAACCTTTAAACCTTATTGATAATTATCCTATGATAACTAGAAATATTGTAGGTAGTGTTTTACAAGCAGGAAAATCACCTATAGCAGGCATGGATGCACTAAGCTGACCCAGCAGCCACAGTAACAGAGCACCCACAATATTGAGAAATGCTGTTGTTTTTTTGCTTCTTTCTGGTTTTCCTTAGATTTCATCTACACACAATGATCCTTTCCTTCATCTTATAATACACAAATAAGGCCTTGAGTCTTCTATTCATATGTACACACTGTACTGAACATGAACCACACTCATCATCACAGGCCAATGGCTACAGATGAAATTTTAGTTCCCATTCATTTTTGAAAAAATAAAAATCTTTATTGTCGTAGAGATCTGTTGATGGAAAATCAAGGAATCATTAGGAGTCAGCGATGCAGTAAGTTTTAACATTAATTAGAAGGAACATTGATCTAGGATTTGCCAAGCAATTAAAGCCCTGCAACTCCATTAGGAAAAGACAGATTCTTCCACTTTATGCAGAGTATTAATTTTAGTCTCATTTACAGATTTGCAACAGCTCTATTTTTTAAAAAACAAAAAACAAAACCTGAACCTAGGCTAAGCATTTTATCTGTATAACATTTCATGCATCATATCCTCCCCCCCCCGACCAGCCCCCACTCCAACCAATTGGCAAGTTTTCATAATTCTCAATGATTTTGAGTGTCCTCTTCTGACTAAGCAAGGTATGACTTGGGCAGGCAGATGAAGAGTAACGAAAGGCTCTGTCTCCTTCCCACCGACTTTGACTCCCCGGTTATTTACAGCACATTATGGAAAGTGGAAAGCGTGCCAAGAAGGAATTTGTTTTCCCCCTTGGAATGCTGCAGTTGTCCCTTGGTGAAAGGAGATCCCCAAAGGCCTGAGCCAAGAAAGTGCTGACAAAAGTGAAACTCAAAAGGGCAGAGAGCAAGAATAAGCTGGTTGGCTTAAGAAAAGCTCCAGTCAAGTGCACACACCCTAAAAGAAGCTATTCTTTATAAAGACAGATACACACCGGCAATGACGCGATCATATGCAGGGCTTTTGAACGCCGGCCCTACCGTACTTCAAAATTATGATCACAAGAAGTGTGGCTGCCCCATTTTCTAAACACTCGGCAACAGCCCGAAACTTCCAGAGCAGGAGTTTGAAAGAAGAATCTGTTTAAAATGCTTGGCCAAGACACTAAGTTCCCTGTTTAGTTGGTAAGTAAGTGGAAGCAAGTTGAAAGGATGTCATATTACATTTCCTTTCTGGGCTCCCCAGCTCAATATCTGCTATTTGAGAGATGCTTTCAAAACACAACATTTAACTCATATTCTGAGGATGTGTATTTTTGTGTAGACCAATTAGCCAATTGTTTTTCTTCTACCTTTCTTTGCGCTTGGTAAGCTATGCTTTTACCTAGCAAACCCCCTGTTGTTTCTGACACAATAATTTCCTCTTCATTTTCCTCATCAATATTTTGCTCCATGCTTCTCAATACCTTCATTTTGCTTGGGCTGTATCCTTTATGACTCAAGCCACTCATTAACACTCATAATTTTGTTTCTGTGGCATTTAAATGTATGTACCATGCTTTCTTTTGCAATGCGTCAACTGGGTTTTTGGCTGCGATAACTTTTTTTAAAAAAATCTATAGTTCAAATGCTCCATTAATCATGTCATTTACTGGTTGTCCTTGACCTAAAGCCACAATTGGGACTGGAACTTCTGTCACTGAGCAATGAGATTGTTAAGTGAGCCATGCCCAATTTAACAACCTCGTTTGCCATGGCCGTTAAGCAAATCTGGATTCCTCCTTTGACTTTGCTTGTTGGAATCCCCCTGTGAAGGTTGTAAATGGTGATTCTGTGATCCTAGGCACTGCATTAGTGCTGGTTGCCAAGGACCTAAATTTTTGGTCATGTGACCATGGGGACACTATAAGAATTATAAATGTGAGGGTAATTTTTCTTCAGTGTCAGCAAAGCTTCAAATGGTCGCTAAATGAATGAGCATAAGTCAATAAGTCAAGGACTACCAATAATATAGACTATATTTCTTCATAATCAGCAATATCAGCATTTGGTATCTTCGTACCATAAACCTGTATTTTTTTCAACATTGGCCAAGGTATTTTTGTGTGTGTGTATCTGGGGAACTCAGAATGTACTGTTCAGCAGCTTCAATTTCTCATCCAAATTATCTCCCAGTCTAATGAATAACAGAACTTCAAAGTGCCCTGACGATTGTGAGCTGGTTACTCAGAATATATTGTAGAGAAGGGGTGTCAAACTTGCCATGTCACGTGACATGTCACAATGTATTGCGACTTTTTCCCATTGCCAGAGCTGGGTGGTGGTGGTTTCAGCAGGATGCATCTGGCCCGCAGGCCAGCAGTTTTGACACCCCTGTTGTAGAGAGTAAGGAACATAACCTTGGCAGAGATATGCAAGAATCATTACCTAGGCAAAAAGGGCTGAAGCATTTTTTTAAAATCCAGAAAAAGGAGGTAACATTTGGGAGCACCTCAGGAAGATGCCTCCCTAATTCACAGAAGGAAGAGGTACAGTGCAATCGGACTTGCAAGATTCTGTGATTATAGTCAGCGGCATAAAAGAAGCGTTAGCCTTACTACGACATTTCCTGGCTTGGTCTACGTACCAGGGCTGAAATATATACATCATATTGTTAAATCATTTTTTTTCCCTAGCATTTTCCCACAAGTGCAGGGTCCACATTTTTTCAGATCAACTGAGTATAATAATAATAAAGTTGGAAGGGACCTTGGCGGTCATCAAGTCCAACCCCCTGCTCAGGCAGGTAACCCTATACCATTTTGGACAAATGGCTGTCCAGTCTCTTCTTAAAAACTTCCAGTATTGAAGCATTCACCGCTTCTGGAGGCAGATTGTTCCACTGGTTAATTGTTCTGTCAGGAAGTTTCTCCTTAATTCTAGGTTGCTTCTCTCTTTGGTTAGTTTCCATCCATTGCTTCTTGTCCTGCCCTCAGATGCTTTGGAAAATAGCTTGACTCCCTCTTCTTTGTGGCAGGCCCTGAGATATTGGAACACTGCTATCATGTCCCCCCTCGTCCTTCTCTTCATTAAACTAGACATACCCAATTCCAGCAACCGTTCCTTATATGTTTTAGCCTCCAGTCCCCTAATCATCTTTGTTGCTCTTCTCTGTACTTTTTCTAGAGTCTCAACATCTTTTTTACATCGTGGTGACCAAAACTGGATGCAATATTCCAAGTATGGCCTTACCAAGGCATTGTAAAGTGGTATTAATACTTCACGTGATCTTGATTCTATCCCTGTTAATGCAGCCTAGCACTATTGATCCATTGGTTGCAACAGGAATTGATTGACTTGTCGCTCAAGCCTGACATTACAGCCCAAGGCTCAGCTTTCATGCCTAATGCAGTATGAGAACTTACAATCTCCTGGTATGTAGTCTGGTGTCTTAATACTAGACCAAACTGGCTCTCTCATATTGTTACATCAAAACCCTGGTGAAAATATAGATACAACCAAATTTCAGTTAATTTTGCTTCTACTAGAGCCTCATATATCAGGATAAAAAAATAACATTTAGTACACATTGTTATATTTTAGATCAGGACCGCAACCTGGTACTGGACCGTGGCCCATTTGGAACTGGGCTGCGCAGGTGGGCGAGCATGCACAGCTCCATTTGTGCAAGCGACAGGCGCTCACAGCTCAATTTTTTGCATAAATGGGGCTGCGTATGCAAATGTATGCGTCCCACTGCTTCTGCAGGACCATTCCCTCTCTCCCCCTTGCTGACTCTTTGGTATCTGATTTTTTACTAACTCTTGATCCTTCTCACTTCCACATTCACACAGAGTAGAGAGAAGAGCCATCTAGGCATGGAACAATCCTTAACAGCTGAGAATGAAGTTTAAATTCTATCAAAGTCCCCAAAGTACTTGGTGCAAGCTGACCCAAGGAAATTCTTGTTGGACACTTAGATTAAAGGAGACTGTCATTCCCCCCCCCCCCCAAAAAAAATCTGGCTTCACAGAAGATATTTCAGTTCTAGGAGAATCTTCTTACATGAAAATGTCTGTCTGAAGAAAAGTAAACCTAGCAGGGTACTTTCCCAAGAAATTACTTTTCAGATATAAGCTGCTCAAAACAGAAAAATCAATGAACATTTTAATTCTCAGTCTAAATGAGAGGGTGACAAAGGACAACTATTTTATCTAGTTAAATACACATACATTTATCTGCTATTCATAGTTATCTAATTAAATTAGTCACAGGTTCTGTTTTAAACCTTATCTCCTTAAAGATTTTAAGATGAGAACACATGTTTTAATTTTCTTTCACTTTATTTCATCATCTGTGCACCACACTTGATTTTAGAGTGAAGCTTCCCATCCTACCATGTTGTCTAAGAACAGCCATATTGATTATGATTAACTGATTATTTAAAAAAAACAAAAAGTGACACTCTAAATCTCTCTGGAAATGTTCACTGAGAAAGGACCAGAAGCTCCACTTCCTAAGAGGAATGCATCAAACTTGAGAGAAGACAAATCCCAATGGTATCTTCAATACAGGTCAGTTCAGTAGTGTCTCTTCAGCATGTCAAGAACAAGAACTTCTAATGAAGAGAGCATTGTAGCGTATGTTTGGTGGTAAAACTGCATCAACACCAAAAGCTTTCAATAAGCCACTGTATGGCTAAGGCATATCCAGAGCATAATATCTGGAAAAATATCATTGGTGAAAGACATTCAGCTTCTCTTCAGAACTGAGTCTTAGTCTGTAGGTATAGGTTTAGTAAATTTAACAGCACGAAGAAGACGCCACAGCAGACCATCTGTGTATTTCCTCCAATTAACGTGACGCAAAATGCATTACAATTAATGCATTTTAGACATGCTTGCCTGACAGTCAGAAATCTAAGTCCTTTATTCTTTCTTGTATTGTTTCATGTGCTTTAGGATGTTGGCGGCAATTTCAGTGTTAGTCTTATTTTGGCCAAAATAATCAACAAATTTCCCATCAGGCCCAATAAGGTACATGATGATAGTGTGATCCACCTGCAAAAAAACACGCACACAAAAAAGGAGATGGAGATAAGACTGAAATTCTGAGATTAGATGATTCTGCTAAGCACTAAATTGTCTCTGTGACTGAACTATTATCCAGTTCTTGATTTCTAATAAAGGCTTTAATAGGCAAGTTAAGTACCCAAAAATGATATTTCTTCAGCAGTAAATATGAGAATATATATTTTTTTAAAAAGCAGAGCCCCATACATCTGATGATAAAACTACAAAAGCAGCCAAACTCTATATTGTGTGTGTGTGTGTGTGTGTGTGCGCGCGCGCGCGGCTTTATTGAGCTCCTGTGTTTGGTGAAAGGTTATCTACTCTGGAACCAAGCTTTCCCCATTACCAAAAAATTAAGTAAAAATATCCTTGAGTGTGAGAAAAAAAATTCAACTTTTGTAAGGCACAAGAACAGTACTGAATTTCTTGGGGGCAGGTAAATAGCAGCAGCAAGAATCCTCTTCAGATACGTAAACACACACACACACACACACACAAATACAAATTAAAAATACCACTTTCTCATGAGCAAACTACTCATTTTGGAAGAACCAAAGTGAGTATTAGAGCCTTGGCATATTTATACTTTAAAGTATGTGTAGGAATATTTACGCTAATAAAAACCCCTATTTCAAAGACTGAAGATATTCTACTTGCTTTTTAGGGCCACTGTCATTTATTATCTGGCGCCCTCTCCTGTCTATTTTCTGGTGCTGATACTTGCCCATTTTTATCTTCCCTTAGGACATGGGTGTCAAACTCGCCATGTCACGTGACTCTTTTTGCATTGCCGGCAAGGGGGTGGGCACTGTTTCGGTATGATGAAACCAGCCCATGGGATGGCAGTTTGACACCCCTGCCTTAGGAGAAGGCAATCCCATCTGGCCTTGTCCAAGCTCAAAAGCTAAGCATCACTGGGCCTGCTGAGCAGTTGGATGGGAAACCACCAGTCCAGGTTGGACTGGAAAGCTGCTTTCTTTTGCAATCCTCCTCTATAATACATTAGAAAACATGTTCAAAAAATTAATGCCAAAAAAAAAGGCAAAGACTTGTCCAGGCAATTACCAGGAGCCAAGACTCGAAGGCACACACAAGCCTGAACTGGATTTTTCAAATCCCAACATGACCTTATTAAAAAATTACTATGTATATTGAAACCAACCTCAGTATCAAAGAATAATGTTTTCAGTTCTACTGTTGACAAGGTCTTTTTCAATTTAATTTTTCTTGCTCGTGATTAAAATAAGAAAGTTCCAACCAATGTTTTTCAACACAAAGGAAGATCGCCAAATTGCAGCTCCCCATGAAACAGAAAAGTCACTTGGCCAAATGCTATCTCCTCACAAAGAAAGTCTTTTGTTCGGAACAAAGTGCATAGTCAGCTCGCATGTTTTCTATGATAATTGCCTTTTACGGTTCTGATATTTCCATTTAGATCTATTTTGCCAAATTCATTCAGAAAAGAAGCTCAGCTGTAGGCCAAACATTCTGAGCCCCCTCCCAATGTTTTCCAATTTGTATTCTTCTAGGGTTGTTTTGCTCACTGCTCATTCACATTTTGTTGATTCAATGACCCATAAAAACTGTCTCAGAGACTAAAACCTTTATCCACTGATGGGAGAACAGATAGAAAGCATACTCACTATGTAGTCATTATCCTCATCTCTGGGACCAGGGCTGTAGTAGACACGATAGGCGCGAGACACCTGATCAATCTGGTCTTTCGTACCGGTCAAACCAATCAACTTTGGTGAAAATTCTGGAAACAAAAATAAAACCATCAAGATCTGATTCATTAAAAAATGAGAGCCCAATTTATAAAAAGTGAAGTTGGACTGAATTGCAAGTTAAAATGGAATCAGTATAGAGTGTCCAATAAAAAGAAAGGCCGTGACTACCTTTGACGTATTTGGCAATGGCTTCTTCATTGTCCCTCTCTGGATCAATGGTGATGAAGAGTGGAGTGACATTAGGCAAAGATGCGATTCTATCTGTCATCATAAAAGATAATATTTAATCCCCAAGTAATCAGCCCCAAGACTGTTTATGTTCAAATTTGCAGCCCCACTAGATTAAGACTCTTGATCACTTTAAACACAAACCTACGTATACCTCTACTCCATCTGTTCAAGCCTATACATAGTCAACTTCCCCAGGGTGGTGATTTAAACTTTTTGTGTGTTTTGGTCCATTTTGGACAAGTTTTAGGAGATGAGCTGAATTCAGAGTCAGGGTTTAGCTTCCCTGAATCCTCAGCTAAAATCTTGGATAAGGGATAGAATGAGGATAAGTTTTTAGATATTGGTAGTCTCAAATCCACTATACTCTTTGGACTGAATGCTGACAAACTGACTAGATAATATATTATTATAGACTGAAGCTAAGGTTAGAGTTAAGCTTTCTTGAAATGTACAATAAATAGTAGAATAAAAGGTAAAATCTGAATGAATTTATATGGTAGACTTAAATTTTGATTGCAGTTATGATCACGTTTTGTAGCAAATGTTTCATGAGTAATAAGGTGAGATTTAACACTGAAATTCCTGGAACTCTATTCTAAAAATGTAAAATGAGCGTGTATTGCTATAGACTCTTATTAGTCTTGATTTGATACTAAAATTAAGTTGAAGGCTGAGTCAACGGTGATGGAAAATATTTTATTTTAATGGAGGTTTGTGTAATGTTAACATTAACTTTAATCTTGTTTGAAATCAATCCTTTAAATGAAGGTGAGGATTAGAATCAAGATGAATGTTTATGGTCAGTGGTGGTCTATGGTTTATATTACTATTGGGATCATCTGATGCAATAAAAGAAGATGTCACTATTACCATGAAGTTAGTGTAAGTATTAGGATTCATTTACATCTATGCTAAACCCAGTATGATGATGAGTATGAGTTCTTAATGTTAATACTAATATATTATTTATCTAATTTATTACCAAACTGGGAATTACTACTGTGTTACTCTTAATGGGAAATCTTTATAGTTAGGGTAAATATTACTATCAATCTAGGACTCATTTATTTATATTCCAAATGGTTTACAGAAAAATAAGCATTAATATTAATATTATGTTGAATTCACAGTTACTCTTAGATTGATGTTAGGATTGAGTAGTGAGGCAAACTTTTGGTTAAATTTTTTTGGTATTAGAGTGAGATTAAAATAAGATTTCTTTGAATACTATTTTAAAATAGCAAGAAAGTTAGGATCAGGGAGAATTCTTATGAGTAAGAATTGGGATCATATTACAGGATTAAATGGTTGAGCACTGGCTAGGGCAAATATTTTTTTAAAAAAAAATCTTTCTTTTATATACTCTGAGCAGCTTATGAGTTATTGAGTGAAGTTAGGTTAAGCATCTTTGAAATTTACATGGAAAACTAGTGTGGCACTTTGAATTTCTGTGGTTAGTGAAAGTCTTTTTTTTCTTCTGTTTAATATTGAGCTTTTGGTAATGATTAGGGTTAAGCCTCTATTAAAGTCTAAGCAAAAACTAACAGAAGGGTGAAAGCACAGCTCAAATCTTTGGTGACCAAGGTTGGAAAAAACTGTGCAAGTGTGAATTTCATTCATTCCAACTGCAAAAAGGTGCTTTTGTAAGATGATTTTAATGGACAAATAAAACAGTACACCACTGAGCTCGTTTTAGTGGTAAACATGGCTTTTTCTTGCTCTTTCTCTTTTTTGAGTATGGGTATACATTTACTCTCCTATACTATACATTTCCCTTTCATCCATGTTTTATGTGTATTAATGGTTCAACTGTGGAGGTGATTAGTGTATCAAGTTTCTGGGTATGTAGCTAACGAGTGCTCTTATGTATGCCGGGAGCTTGGCTCTCGCATGCTTGCTCGATCAACCGACACATAGAGCTTCCCCCAGCATATTAGGCACTAAAAATGCAAGAAGAGCAAGCCAGAATGCGGACTGCGCTCATAACGAGAGGAACTAGAGAAGGCATTTATTGTATGGAAAGGAGACCGGATACACAACGAATTGCTGAGGGTAAGGTGAACAATGACCCGACGAATTGCTGAAGGTAAGAAGGAAGGAGAACGACGATCGGAGTAATGCGATCCGCGGGAGGAGAAACAAGATGAACGGCCACCCGTCCGGAGCGAGCGATGGAGGAATGATCCTGCAAATAATTCTGTAGGAACACCACCTGATTGGATAGGGACAAGACGGGGGAGAACACTGCAACACACATGCACGCCTGCATACGGAGAGCTACCTGCTGGGCGCTATTTGGCAGCCACCCCAGCTGATCGAATGCGGATGAGACAGGGGGACAGGAGGCTACTGTGCACGCATGCACCTAAGCATGAAGGGAAACCGGAGGGAACAGGGCCGATAGGGATAAACAGCAGAGGGCAAGAACAGCAGGTGAATAAACAGGAAAAACAGGGGGAGCAGCAACCAAAAGGCACCTATAATGCCGGACCCAGATGTGCAGCCCAGAACGATTGCAGGGGGGGCGGGCAGGCGAAAAATACACCAACAGCATTAGGAAAGATAGGATTGACAAGGATGAGAAGGGTGGAAAAAGAAACAATGGAAAGAAAGAAGGCTGTGAAATTGGAATGCAAATGAGGGGAGGCGGGACAACTGAGGCAATTACAGTCAATTAGGACAGACAGCCCTATCACACGGTCAATGAGCAAGAAACTGAGTTAGCAAGGTTTATAAGAAAACTCCCCACCCCTTGACACTCACTCTGATGAAGCTGGCAGTGGACCAGCAAAAGCTTAGGTTGTTTTTATTGTAAATAATTGTTTTTTTATTGTTTGAGTTTTTTTTAACAATAAACAACTGGTTTCTATCATTCCCAGAGTTCGAGGACTTTTTATCATATATGTATGTATGTATGTATGTATGTGTGTATATGTGTGTGTGTGTGTGTGTGTGTGTGTGTGTGTGTATGTATATGTATGTGTATGTATGTATGTGTATATATATATATATATATATATATATATATATATATACACATACATACATATATTCGCTAAATTTTTGTATTGCTAACGAAGAGTTAAAGGGGGACTGGGATAGCTATATCGAGCTGATTACAAATTATGTTGCAGTAGTGACTGCTGCCTGTGGATGGCTCTAGATTGAGCTGATACAGGCAAAAGATTTCTTCCTCCCATATTTGGGCTGACAGGTATACCAAAAAAACATTCAAGACATATATATATATATATATATATATATATATATGTATGTATGTATGTATGTATGTATGTATGTGTGTGTGTATGTATAGATATAGATAGATATAGATATATGATATATATAGATACAGATATAGATATAGATATATATTCATTCTTTTGAGAACAGGTACCAGAATTTCATTTTTAATGTGTAGCAGTGTATACACAGAAAAAAATGTCGATAAAGGTTATCTTATCTTGTTGCATATAGCTGAGTTTTAAATGGTTGTAAAACTTTTCAACACAGATTCTTTCCTCCTTTACATTTACCTCCCTCCCACGTTCTATTCTCCACAAGCTCTCTGATAAAAGGGAATGGTTTTAAGAGGCCTAAATCATAAAAAGGTAATCCAAAGTCACAATCATACTCTTAATCAAGAGGACAGCATGACTGCCTCACATAGAGAATCTTTCTAGTCACTCTGGAGTTGGGTGGTGCCAAAACCAAATCAAATTAAAAGTTCAGGTTTCAGCAGGATTTACTTACCAACTTCATCCACTGCTAGCATCATTTTCTCCAGTTCTTCTGGGCAAATGTCAGGGCAATGTGTAAAACCAAAGTAGATTAAAACCCACTGGCCCAGATAATCACGATCTGATTTTGATTGTCCATGGTGATCAACAAGTGAGAAAGGGCCTCCTAACAAAGGCTTTCCAATGGATCGAATACTCTCTCTCTCCAATGCTGAAATTTGATCACAAAATTAGATTATCTGGCGGCAGCTTTGATGGAGGAAAATCTTAAAAGGATTCCAACAGAAATTCCTATACATACATTTCTAATTCCTTACCTTTTCCTATCCTGTCTGAGAGACAATTTCAAGTGTGTCTCTTCTTGGAACCTGTTTGGGTTTGTTTTTTATTCTTGTTTTACCTAGAAATTACTATCTATCCTGGAGGTAAAAATACAGAATTATAATGGCAAAGGCCAAAGGCAGTAGCAAGAAATAGTACAATGAAATATTTACAACTTGGGAAGAGATAACATGGAAACTTCCAGAATCTCTCAAAATCTCTGCAGAAAATGATTTAAGATCACTTATATCCTATCTTGTTGTATTTAGATTCAGGGGCTTTAATTAAGATTGATCCTGATTGTATTTCAATAAATGCTAGTACATTTATTGCTTTAGTGATTTTTGAAGCAGTCATTACAACATCTCAATTTTATACCAGAGCAGAGATTTATTGCTAGCATAACCTGAAAGAGGAAAAACTTTAATATTTACAATATCTACACATTGGGAAATCACCTGAAGAGAAGGACAATAAGCAGAAATAAAAACCATAACACATGCTTGGGCATATTTCATGATGGTAAGAATCAATTATAAAAATGTAGAGTTATTTGTATCATTCCTTCATGTGCTTGGATCACATCTCCCAGAATTCCTAGCCAAGCCCAATACATCTGGAAACCATCAGCTTAGAAAAAAAAATCAAACTACCCAATAGCCACCCTTGACTAGATATGCAATTCTTTGCACAACACAATTTACATCTCTACAATAAACGATAATAAAAAAGCAACAGAATGATTGAAATAATACCCACCTGCTTCTTTCTTTTTCTTTAAATATTTCAGTAGTCCCAGCATCCCACCTCCAATCACAACCGTGACTGCTAAACTCTTCCAAGTTACCGGCTACTGGGAAAGAAGAGAAAACGAAATGTTCATAAATAAATCCTTTCGCGTCAGGCCGAGCCCGTTTCATACGAGCGCTAATCGTGTGACTTCTCGTGGTCTATCCTAACTTTTTCCAGGCGCTTTTAATTTTTCTCCCCTATTCCCGGCTGAACCGGTTAATTTTCTGCCTGTATGAAGACGATCAAGATTAAGCTCAAGATCGGGAAAGAAGATGGGGAGATGCCTTTAAGTTCACCGATTAAAATCTCCCGAACGGGACTCCGCACCTTTGAGCAAGTCCAGCCTGAGAGAGGCTTTGGCCAAGTGTCATTCTTCCAGCTTCGCGGAAAGGACAGACCCGCGATCCCGACCGAAGCGCCCTCTTTGGCCAAGAAGATTGCGCGCAAAGGTGCCCAAAGAAAGGCCTCTCCCCGGGGCCCAGCGATCCAGCGCTTGCAGCAGCTGCCCTCGGCTTCTCCCACTCTGACTTCTACAGCCGGAATGCCTCACCCCAGGTTTCTTGAAGCCCTTCTGCCTTCCTTTGACCGGGGGTGCGGTGACCAGGGTCCGGACAGGACAGCAGCGCGGGAAGCAATGCGGTCTAAACGCTAAACGCGTGCAAAGGGCGAGCGACATCAGGCGAACCCGCACCGCTCCCGCCATCCTTCCCCTCCCGGACTCACGAACCAGCACACCCGACTTGAATTTCCGGGACAGACCGGCGTCCTGCCATTGCATTGGCTTCAAGACTGTCACATGACGTCCTGTACTCTCCGAGGACCGCAAGAGGCGCTTGTGTTTCCTTTTGGCTCCCTACAGTTTGCACGAAGAAGCGGGCACCGTTGAAATCCGGCCCTTGTCGAAGTACTTTCTGCTTCTCGTTCGCCTGGAATGAAAGGAATTAAGGCGGCTTTGGAAAGAAGGGTTATTATCAGTCAAGGCTGATAAAAACAACAACAACAACAAAGTAACAACAACTTTATTTTTTTTCTCTTAGTGGGATGGTGATCTTTTCTTTCTAACTTCTCTTCAATATAATACTGATAAGAAAGTTGGAGAAATCCCAACTTTTCATTCTGTTTGACAACAAGTGAGTTACTAGGTAATTTTTCAAGCATTTTCATATTGGGAAAAGTCCGTCTTTTCAACTTAAAACAAGCGTGGAGGAAAAAAAGACGACATCCATTGCCAACCTCTTCAAACATTCATTTGTTTTGTGGAAACAAATTAAGGCGAACCAAGCCTAGCTTCCAGACTTCCTCAATTTATTTCCTCCACTCAATTTACCAATTACCCACTTCCGACCGGGGAGAGAAAGAGAGAGGAGATAATAACAGGATGGAAGAGAACCAGGAACGATATCTTTGCAGCACTTAAAGAGTAAGTGTCGCAACGCAACGTACAGAGTTTACAATTATAGCTCTATGGCGAAGGAAAGGAAATGAAGTCACTTCCGTCGGCATTTTTATTTCCTTTTTTTTTAACTGAAAAAACCCCAACCCAAACTTCAAGTTACGTGAGCGAGACTGATTGCTCGTATCCTAAGTAACCATACTTAGATTCAAATGCAAGACTAACAGAAACCTACGTGCGGGTGGCTAATTGGGAATCTTCGGATGTTCATTTTTGGAAAATGTAAGTAATTTGTAGCACTTTTGACTCAGAGGGCTTTCCTACTCGCTCTCTCTGTTGTAGAAAAGAACAGAGGAAAACGGAACAAAAGTTCCTTAGTTAATAGCACACGAAAAACGTGGTATCTGTTGAAGAAACATTTAGCCTGGTATTTCCTAGGATTCTTACAGTTGCCACAAGCCCCAATCATCATGGCTATGTTTGTCTGTAGATGATGAAAACAATACATCTGTATATCTAAAGGTTTTTTATCATAATGGTCACTCAGTCAGCCAGATGTTTGTACTGGATTTGGCATTTTTATCCACCTATTGCTCTTGGTCTATCAAGGACCTGGGATAGGCAGATGTTGTCTATGACTCTATGGTACTATATTGAAAGACATGACAGTATGCAGTCATATTAGCTACAAGTTATTAGCTACCACAGGTTTTAATAATTAAGACTGCATACATGTGCGTTTATCTAGCAGTAGAATTATGTTCAATTGCTAGTGGTTCATGGACATGTCCATGCTATTTTCTTGGCAATAATATTTTGCTATTACCTTCTTCCACAATATAGTACTATACATTGCTTTTGGTTTCCAGTCTAATCTAAGGCTTTGATCTTTTCCAGGCTCCCTCCTAGTACTAATCTAGTTTTTTTTTAAATCAACTACAGATAATCTTCAGTTTATGACCATTGATTTGGTGACCATTCAAATTACGATGAAACTGAAAAAAACTGATTTTGACTGGTCTTCACACTTATGACTATCACAACATCTGTGCGATCATGTGATCAGAATTTGGGTACTTTGCAACTGGCATGTACTTACAACAGTTGCAGTGTCCCAGGGTCACATGCTTACCATTTGTGACCTTCCTAGCTTCCAACAAGCAAAAATCAATAGGGGAAGCAACATTTCTTAATGACTGCATGATTCACTGAAATGACAGCAAAAATATCATAAAATCAGGCATGACTCACTAAACTACCTATAGTACTGCCACTTAGCTTGGCCATGTAGTGACAGTATTGTATTCTGAACAGGTATATGTAGACCTTTGCTGAATATGGTTTTCCCAGTCTAAACTACTGGGTTGACAGAATACGAATTGATAAGATTTTCTTATGAAAATCTATGAGAAAAAGAAGTGCAAATGAATACAGTTTTAATTTGGGTCATTTCAAATATATTCTACTACCTTCATGAAATACAATTTACTGAAAAGATCATCAGGTCCATCAAAAATTGTAAAGCATTCCTACAGACTTGCATGTTGCCTCACCAGATTTACTATCCAAACAATTGATCTGTTCTTTTCTTCCTTCCATTAGTTTTCAGCAAGACGTTTTGGGCAATATGGATGCAGCAACCACAAGAACAACGTCTGAAGCGCTCTTCTCCTTTGGAATCGTAGCAGACGTTCAATATGCTGATATTGAGGATGGCTATGATTTCCTGGGATTTAATAGGAGATACTATAAACATAGCCTATGCTGTCTCCAGAAGGCAATTGAAGATTGGAATCGAACTGAGGTTCAGTTTGTCATACAGCTCGGGGACATTATTGACGGCTTCAATGCCCAACATAAGACATCAGAGAAAGCATTGCAACAAGTTATGAATGAATTTAAGAAACTCAGTGCACCAGCCCATCACATATGGGGCAATCATGAATTGTATAATTTCAGCCGGAATTATCTTATGGAATCTGAACTGAATACCAAGTACTTAGAAGACCAAAGTTTGTTTAATAACTTCAGCATCAGAGAACAAAGCTCCACAGGAAACCCGGCTACAGAGTTCTATTACGCCTACCAGTTTTCTCCAATGCCAAAATTTAGATTCATTCTTCTTGATGCATATGACTTAAGTATCCTGGGGAGGGAAACATCAACGAAAAAATATAAAGAATCTCTACAGCTGCTACAAGACAAAAATCACAATGAAAATCTGAATAGTCCACTAGGTATTATGTTCTGATGAACATAATTGTTGCACATTTTTAGAGTCATGGTCTAGGAAAGAGCTGGTTTTGTGTGGATAAAAAAATGTGCTATTAATGAAGATATCTCCACATATTCTGTTTTAGGGGACTACTCATCTTAAGTCTGTCATACCAAAAATAAAAAGTTTTATGATAATCTAACACAACCCATTTACTATAGGATCATAAGTGGGTTTGTTTTCTTGGTGTTCCTTTAAAGTATATGGCAAGGACATCACCCCATGGAATCCTCATTTCAAAATGGCAACTTTTTCACACAAAAGTTCTACAAAAGTAAGCTAGGCAATAAAGTATTGATGCATTTATGTAATCTCTAAATTAGGAAAGGGAAGGTAGAACTATACTACCTACAGACATCGATATGTTCTGTATAACTGCTGCAGTTTTATGTTTCCAATTATTAAATGATTATTTTATACAACTTGATTGAAATATCAATAGAGACATTGACATATTTCCTACCTCCAGGAAACTCAGTTAAAGCAAACTTTTTAAAATCCCATTTTCTTCATTTACTAGGCTTAGTTCGATCCTTTAAAGTCAGGGATACCCTGCCTTTAACACACATTTCTGAAATTGACCATTATTCTTAAAAAGTACATTTCAAACTAAAAATATAGCTTATGTGTTTGGCGTATTGGTACATGACCGTAATAAAGATTGTTGTTATATAGCTTCCCATCAATTTACTCTTTTTTTACAGGGCTTGCTGAATGCAATTTTGTACAGTTCAATGGTGGATTCAGTCAAGATCAGCTGGACTGGGTTGATAAAGTCCTTACCTATGCTGATGAGAATCAAGAAAGAGTTGTGATTGCAGGTATGGCTGTATTTTTAATAATTAGTAGTATTGGGGATGGAATAAAGTATTTTAATATTTGTGGTTTTACCATTCTGACTAGGGTAAACTCTGCTGGTCTGGAATGTTTTGCTGCCTGAACTGAATTATATGTTTTGAATACTTCAAGGAAGGAAAGGAGGTGGGAAAATCAAATGGGATACATTTTACTGGGACATCAGCAACAGTTATAGTTAAAGGGACAAAGAGAACATACTGGAAAAATTAGGGGCAGGCTTGCTATGTTGTGTATCACTTCCCATCTCTCCCTGGGAAATGCACAGTAGAGAGGAAGTAATAGGTATTTATTTATTTAGAAAGAAAAAGATATTATTACTAATGTAAATAAATTGCAAATAATATATATGAGATGTATAACACAGTTCTGTTAAGGGAAAAATGTATTCATTTTTATTTTTGTTGTATAGTGAAAAAGGAATAAATAAAAATTAAAAAAGATATTTATTTATTTAGGAAATTTATTTGTCACTCATCTTGTAACCAACAACTCTGGGTGGCTTATAGCAGGGCTTTTCAACCTTTTCACCCATTGTACCACTTTTAGGATATGGCAATATCCGAATACTACCAGTCACCTAGCAAGGTGTCAAAAACTTGATGACCCACCCCCAAAAGGAAAAAAGTGATAAAGTACAGGTAGTCCTTGACTTACAACAGTTCGCTTAGTGACTGTTCAAAGTTACAATAGCACTGAAAAAAGTGCCCCCCAAGTCACAGCCGAGCAAGACGCCTGCCTGCGGCGCTCTTCCTCCTGTCCAAGGTTTTCACTGTTGTGAGGCATTTCTGTTGAGGATTGGCAGCGGGGGTGGGGTGGGGTGTGTTTGGTTTTTATTCCCCCCATCTGCTGGGTGGTTGCAGCAGGTTTTGGTCACTTCACATGACCCTGGGACACTGTGACCGTCATAAATATGAATCAGTTTCCAAGCATCTGAATGTAAATCACAAGACCCTGGAGTTGCTGCAACATTCCAGCTAATTGGCGTTTCCTCTGAGCTCAGCAGAGCCTGGCGCTTCCGCTGAGCCCTGACAGCCCTGCAGCTCCAGCCATCTCTCGCTCAGGCTTGTGCGGTGCTGCCACCGGTTCAGCTCATTCCCCTCCCCCACTAGGATGGTCACGTACCACTTGCCATGTGCCAATGTACCACAGGTGGTACCCGTACCACTGGTTGAAAAGCCCTGGCTTATAGCATAGAAATAAAAAAAAACATTAAAATCAACATTCATAGTACATAGCAGATAAAATCATTAACAATTATCTCTGTCAATGTTCTACCTGCACTTCCTGAATTTTTGGCTGCTGACCTGAAACAGTGTGATGCAGACCTAAGCATGTACAGTGAGGGGGGAAAATTATTTGATTCCCTGATGATTTTGTATGTTTGCCCAGTGACAAAGAAATGATCTGTCTATAATTTTAATGGTAGGTTTATTTTAACAGTGAGAGACAGAATAACAACAAAAATCCAGAAAAATGTATTTCAAGAAAGTTATAAATTGATTTGCATTTTAATGAGTGAAATAAGTATTTGACCCCATCGCAAAACATGACTTAGTACTTGGTGGCAAAACTCTTGTTGGCAATCACAGAGGTCAGATGTTTCTTGTAGTTGGCCACCAGGTTTGCACACATCTCAGGAGGGATTTTCTCCCACTCCTCTTTGCAGATCCTATCCAAGTCATTAAGGTTTCGAGGCTGGCATTTGACAGCTTGAATCTTCAGTTCCCTCCACAGATATTCTATGGGATTAAGGTCTGGAGACTGGCTAGGCCACTCCAGGACCTTAATGTGCTTCTTCTTGAGCCAATCCTTTGTTGCCTTGGCCATGTGTTTTGGGTCATCCACGACCCATTTTCAATGCCCTGGTTGAGGGAAGGAGGTTCTATCCCAAGATTTGATGGTACATGGCCCTGTCCATCATCCCTTTGATGCGGTGAAGCTGTCCTGTGCCCTTAGCAGAAAAATACCCCCAAAGTATAATGTTTCCACCTCCATGTTTGATGGTGGGGATGGTGTTCTTGGGGTCATAGGCAGCATTCCTCCTCCATACGTGATGAGTTGAGTTGATGCCAAAGAGCTTGATTTTGGTTTCATCTGACCACAACACTTTTCACTCAGTTTTCCTCTGAATCATTTAGATGTTTATTGGCAAACTTCAGACAGGGATGTATATGTGCTTTCTTAAGCAGGGGGACCTTGCAGGCACTGCAGGATCTCAGTCCTTCATGGCGTAGTCTGTTACCAATTATTTTCTTGGTGACTATGGTCCCAGCTGCCTTGAGATCATTGACAAGATCCTCCCGTGTAGTTCTGGGCTGATTCCTCACCGCTCTCATGATCATTGAAACTCCACAAGTGAGATCTTGCATGGAGCCCCAGACCAAGGGAGACTGACAGTTATTTTGTGTTTCTTCCATTTGTGAATAATCGTACCAACTGTTGTCACCTTCTCATCAAGCTGCTTGGAGATAGTCTTGTAGTGCATTTCAGCCTTGTATTGGCTTACAATTTTGTCCCTGACATCCTTGGACAGCTCTTTGGTCTTGGCCATGGTGAAGAGTTTGGAATCTGATTGATTGCTTCTGTGGACAGGTGTCTTTTATACAGGTAACAAGCTGAGATTAGGATCACTCCCTTTAAGAGATTGCTCCTAATCTCACCACATTACCCGTATAAAAGACACCTGGGAGCCAGAAAGCTTACCAATTGATAGGGGATCAAATACTTATTTCACTCATTAAAATGCAAATCAGTTTATAACTTTTTTGAAATGTCTTTTTCTGGATTTTTGTTGTTGTTATTCTGTCTCTCACTGTTAAAATAAACCTACCATTAAAATTATAGACCGATCATTTCTTTGTTGGTGGGCAAACGTACAAAATCAGCAGGGATCAAATAATTTTTCCCCTCATTGTAGTTGAGTTTTATTTTGAGTTAAAACAACAATTTTTCACTTCCATCCATATTACTAGTTCTGAGAAATTCTCTTTCTTGAACCTAATTTATAATGCACTAAATGAAGACACATAATAAAAAACTGTTGGAAAAAGGACCTAATTACTTCTATTTTTCCAATTTTGCTTCTTCTGAGCATTGTAATGATTAGAAGTTTAAATTGATATTTATAATGTAAATAGTAAAATATATGCCTGTTCTTGCATTTACTTGACTATCAGATTTTTAAAAAAGAGTTCTGAATATTCTCAGGGCAAGTGTTTCACTCTTGTGATTTCAATACACCTACACTGAATTCTGTTCCTCTTCTGGAATTCTGTAAGTATTTGAGTATTATTCCCATATTACAAATTAGAAGGCAGTGTAAGAGTTGACGGCTTTCAAGTTTACACAAGGAACTAAAATTTGAGTTGAGGCTATCCAATTTTAGTCAGGTGTTGTGGAATGTTACTTGTAGATTTTCACATGTGGACAAAATGATGGTGTTTCATTTATTTTGAGTACATCTCTTCTTGTGTTGCAGGACACATACCCATCAACCCGTACTGTACAAGCAGTATTTGCCTTGCTTGGAATTATAAAGCTGCCCTTGCTGTCATTTATTCACATCACTCAGTAGTATGTTTTCTTGCAGGCCATCTTCATTATGGTGGTTACTGTTTAGATTCTCATGGAGTCCATCACCTGACCCTTGAAGGGATTATAGAAACTCCTCCAGAAAGCAATGCTTTTGGAACTATATATGTCTATAATGACAGACTGGTATTAAAGGGAAATGGAAGAGTTCCAGATAGGGAGATGTATTACAAAGATCATCCACACAATTCTTTATTTTAAATACTATTGTGTTGGTGTGTGTTAGAAATTGTTATTGTTCCAACTGTTTTTAATTAAAACACAATTTTAATATTCAATAGTGAATAAAGCTATGAAAGACATTGTGTATTTTCTTTAAACAACAGGTCCTGGTAAATTGAATTTATCTTATAGTATGTTGTATAATTATTTGCCAAAAGTTTACTCTCATATGTTTCCTCTTTGGAGAATTACACTTTCAACTTTAAGTCTGGCATGGAAATTGAATGGAAGCTCTACTTGCTGATACGAAGACTGGAAAAATAATACATTGGATTGACATCTATAATCTTGGAATAAAATAGCATTCTGTTTAAAACACCCCCTACCATTATGCTTTTCTCTTTTGAACCCTTTGAAATGATACCACCACTTTCACTTAAGAATAAATTCCTGACTGAGAGGTCTAGTCATAGTTTTTTCTCTCGACAGAATTCAGAATTCAATATTCAAACAATATTGAAGTATGAATATCAGAAATACTTTGATGTCTTGCCAATGGAAGAATGGAGAATGAGATAGTATCAAACTTGCTATATACTCTATTCAATTAAAAATGAGTTGTAGAATTATCTACATCCAATTAGATGAAAGGATTTACTAATCAAAACACAATGCTAATTCTGTAATGGAAGTTCTTGTTATCCTACATCAATATTAGGATCACTATATCTGGGCTCCAAAAGGCCAAAGTGTTTTTCTAGCTCTATTGCAATCTCATAGTTATCCAAATATGTATAGTCCAGATATTGTGGCCCGCTATAAAACACTTAGGCTTTAAAACAGCTTTTGTGAAGAATAATTTAAAGAAATGAGCCTAGCACTACACTGAATGCTTCTCCAAATTTTAATTTATACCTTATTACATGGAATATGACATGGTTATGGATTAAGAATTGTATGTTAATCGTCTGAATAGTGCAGATGTATGTACAGAAGCATGGATGGAATTTCAGAGACACCGGATACATCCATATCAAATTAATATATTTATTTACATTTCATAAATATATACAACATATACAACAGTTCTTCCACTGATGTTGTCTGGCTTCAGCCTATGCTTCAGCCTGAAGCTCAAACTATAGGCATCTTCCACAGAGACACTTTGATTTATTCAGTCCAACCTCTTGCGTGTGTCGACCACACAATAAAATGGAAATTATGAACCAACTAGCTTTAATGCAGTTGAAAACAAAGGTCATAATCCACAGAATTTAGTTTTCAGTTATCTTCGAATATTCAGTCTTTAGGAGCACTTTAGATAAACTGGTCTTCATGGGAAATAATTAGCCTTATTTGTGGTTCCTGTTCATTTGGCATCAGTAAAGAAGCAACCTCTGAAGTCATGGAATTCTTGATGCTTTCCATTATTTTAAATTACAGTTTTACAGTGAGATGGCCATGATGCTCGCATTTCTGTATTCACGTAGATGTATAACCACATAACAAAAGGAAAAAGGCAGAGGAAAATTGCAATGATCAAGTGAAATCCACCCAGGGAATTTCTGGAAAGAAACAGGCAGAGATTTTGCTGAAATCTAATCTAATTCAACCCAATAAACAGGAACTCAGAAATATGAATTATTCTTGGTTTTGTAAAAGTACATTGACATGATTTCTGGAACCAATAAAGAAGTTATACAAATAGTCCTCAATTGGGACTGGCAACTCTTCCACTAAACTAGAACTCCAGTCTCCCCACTCAACTACTTGAGTAAAATTGCTTCTCTGTGCTAAATATATATACCAAGGACAAAATAACTTGCTTTTCTCTTTAAAAGAACTTAATCTCCAACTATAACAAGATTGCAAAAGTCAGACATCCTTGGCACAGGAGTATAATATATTTGTCAGGGTAGGAACAAGTTTTCTATGTATTACTAAGCTGGAATTGACAAGTTAAAAGACTCACTTGGCTGAATTACGACAAAGGCTCATCCAGGCAGTAACAATCACCAGACCAAATAACTCCCTGTTTTTAATCAAAGACAACTATGTAAGTTACACAAAATTGATCCCACAAAATAAACTATATGCAAAGAAAGTCTTTGCTTATAGTTACAATAGCATTAATTATGTTAGTACTGAACAAGCACATACTTACTGAAAGCATATACTGGCAGTTTAAGAAATAAAAAAATACTACTTGAGGAAAATTTATTTGCCATATTTTAATTAGTTGGGAGTATTAACACAACCCCATCAATCTCAGAGTTTGATTAGGGAATGCAAGTTACAGTACTTCCATTTTAGTCAAGAGATATAAACATTTTACTTGACTTGGGCACTATCCAAGAATGCCATACATTCTTACATTAAAACATATATACATCAATTGTAATAAGATTGGTTGTAGTCTGGCTACCTTCAACATCTTCAGGTTAAAATATCTCATTCTATTTAAACATACAAAATTAAATAGTGACTACAGAAGAACCCAAAAAAATATACGGTATGTGTGCACCATTAAAAAAAATCAGACCATATCCCAATACTTTGTATCAGGTGTTAGTAATCTCAGATTTCAGGATAAAATCTTCTAGGATTTCTTTCTATTGATTTTCTTGGCACATAAAAATATATCATGTGTGTGAGGAATTTGTTCTAGGGACTTCAAAGCTTTAAATCATTTTAATCCCTTAGATCTAGGGTAGCTTGAGGATCTAACAAATGTTAAGGATGAGAAGTATGATGATCATGAAAATACAATAATAGTAATAGCACTTAGACTTATATACCACTCCATAGTGCTTTACAGCCCTCTCTAAGCAGTTTATAGAGTCAGCCTATTGCCCCAACAGTCTGGGTCCTCATTTTACCGACCTCAGAAGGATGGAAGGCTGAGTCAACCTTGAGCTGGAGAGACTCGAACAGCCAAACTGCTGGCAGCCAGCTGGCAATCAGCAGAAGTAGCCTGCAGTACTGCATTCTAACTACTGAACCATCATGGCTTAATAATATTGAATTAATGCAGAAAAGATCTCGTTACTGACCTGCCTTCTTCCTCATGCAAGATGTTATTTTGAGCAGTAGTAACCAAGGAATATCCCAACACAGCAGAACCCACAACACAAGCAGCCGAATGTAGATCTGATATACTCCTCCACATAATGTTATCTGGAAAATGTGGTGAATTATTTGTACAAATCACAATGGAATTTGCACATTGAATTCATTTTTCTTGGTCAATCTCTTCAAAAGCCTTTAAACAACAATTGTAGAGAGAAAACTCTTTAGATTTGGGATTTACTGCTTATAATCAAGTCACTGAACAAGAAGAGGCATTTTTCATGCAGGCTGAAATATCTAAAACACTTGTATTTCCAAAATTAAAAATGTAGGAGATACTGAAGAGAGAGAGAAGGCAGCTAACAGGCCACATTAGATACAGAAAACACATAGGGAAATGAACATATAGTATGACATCTCAAGGAAATTAGTCAGTACTAGTACTATTTCATTCCAAAAGGAGTAAGAAGAGCAGAAGAGAATATGAGAGACAGATTTCAATTGACTCTGAACAGTACTAACAAAAATATATGCAAGCATATGTATAGAATACAACAAACTACCTTAATAGAGAAGCAAAATAACATATGAGTTTATACATTATAGAGTTCAAGTTAATGTGAAAGAAATAGAATGCTAGGCATATCTAAGGATTATTAAAATGTCACATTCACGTGCCGCCTTTTCAATCAAAGAATTGATATATATTATATTCTCATTTCTGCTTTTATTCTCACAATAATCCCATATCCCAATTCTAAATCGGTTAAGATGAAAACCTGTGGTGATTTAACACCTAAGCTTCCCCTCTCTGTGTCCGACTACAGTTTCCGATATCACAATTGTGGGGAACTTTTTTTGAAAAAAGGATTTGGGTTAAATATAATTGTAACTATCAACCATATTCCAAAAAGCATTTACCAAAAAACTGTACGATTTCAATGTTCAGTAAATTGTCTAGTAGTTTTTTACAATCACCCCCAAATTCATGGTTTAAGAACGTAGTGAAGAATGTTCAGTTTCTGGATGGGGCACTAAAACTTGTTTCTAAATTATCAAAAAGCATAGAAGAGGTGAGTAGCCAGAGTCTATCAGTAGTTGGAAGAATGATCTATTTTGCCCAATAATACTATACCTGTGATTGGTGGATTAAGGCTGACTATCAGTGCAAGGCATGCTGGCACAGAGTACACAATCTAAAAGTGAGATATATTAATATATATTTTGTAAATAAATGAAGATAGAAAAAAGGAAAATGGAAGTGTTCAATTCCAATGACTAGATAAATAAACAAGTCCCAAGATTGAATCCCCAGGAGAGATAGGAAAGCTGTAAGCTTTGTTGCTTATTGTCTAAGGTAGAAAGACCTTAGAAGGGTAAAAAAGCTCAATTATGCAGAGGCTTTTTGAACCACTGACATTTCACAAAAGGAAAAGAATGGCCAAAGAAGCCACCCACCATCAAAGCAAACAGACCTATCAAGCTGAATGTGATGATTGCAGGTGAAATTATTCTTTCTTATGAATGTTTTGTCTGCTTGGGAAACAATCAGTCTATGTGGGGAAGTAAGCTGCACACAGGAGAACACCTAAACTGTAATTTATGTGTTACCTTCAGTTTTGTTATTAGTAATTGAAGTTCATTTTGTAGTATTTGCACTATTAGAAGCAGATACAGTATGCCAGCTGTGAACTCTTAAGGAAGCTCAAAATTAGGCTGCTGTACAAAGGGTTAGCTTTGAAAACTGTTCAGCAATGGCAGTAAAAGTGCAGTTCTTATGTGCAAAGCCACAATAGGACCACATTTTGCTCATTTGTGTATAGCAGCCTTTGTTAGTACATAAAATATATTTACTTACTAGTAGCATGCACTTAATTTGAAACTTCAGTAACTGAAAAATCATCTTCTGCAATTTAAGTTCCTCTCCCCAGATGCCATCATTAATTGCTTTTAGGTCCAGTTTTGTATTTATTCTATATGCAGCAGGTGGCAGTATATAATCAGTCATGGCTGATCTCAACAAAACCACCCTCTGGTCTAATAAGCACCTTAATAAAGGTGGGATAAAAAATGTACCACCCCAGTAAAATGTTAGGACATAATGTTAGCATAGCAAAGAACAAATACACACACACACACACACACACATACTCACTATCCAGAGTCCAGGATCCGGGTCATTGATCTGTAACAAAGAAAGCAAAACTCATTGCTATAGGCTCTGATATTGAATAGCACATAAAATCGAAATCCTTCAAGGTAAACCATAAATCACTGTCAGTTTTCCTTGCTCAATATGTGGACGACTTACTAGGAATCTTTTCTCATTGATAAAGATCATGAGCAAATGTTATTTCTTGAAAACTACATAAAGAATATTAAGAAATTGCAAACATCTAAGAGTGGGGCTCCTCTTCTGATGTGCAGAGTCAAACTGTGTGCATCCTATGACAAACCTAACTGATGCCAACTCAATTGTGGCTCTATCCCAGTCTGTAGTATTCATTTTAAAAAGCAACATCAAATCACCTTCAAGTTGTGCTTGAAACTTGGTGACCACGACCTTTCCATATAGTTTCTTAAGCAAGAATACACACCAAATACTGTTGGTGTTTTTTCACTTGCCAAATTGTGGATAGGGATAAAATAGCAGAATGGTGGCAAAAGAGGCTTATTCCACACTAGACAGAAAAGAGCTCCCCCATCCTCCATTAATATGTCCATTGGCCACTTGATCCATCACTAAGGTAATGAGTGAGAAGCATAACAGCTTTTACACATCTTAAGTGTTGGATTAAAGAGGAAAGTTTTGCTTTGGGGCCATTCCAGCCTTGCTCTTGGATCGGACAGGAAATGAAGCTAATTCTGCAAAAAAAAAAAAAAAAAAAAGGCAGAACAATGGTATTGTCAGCTGGATAAATGGGGGGCGACCCTTACCTGAGCAGGTAAGGTCATGGGAAAGTCCAAGGTTGCAGAATAGACCGGCACATCGAAAAATACCCCAGAACAAGACCTTGGCAAACCACTTTCCTATCGAAGCTAAGAAAACTACAGGGACGCGCGAGGCTTCCAAGAGTGACCAGGAGTAGGAAGTCTGGACTGTTTACGCTTTTAAAGTTGCTTCTCTGGCGAAGCCTTCTCTGGAGTTTTCGCTCCCGTCTCTTCCTACCGCTCTAGTTGGGAGTAAGTAGAGGATCGAGGGAAGGAGGAGCTTTGTCTTTTCTTGCGACCCCATTACCCAAGTCTTTCCCCAACTCCTGACCTTTCCAGGTTCAGCCCCTCGGCTACTAGAGTTCTGACCTGCGCTATTCCGGAGATTATCCTACCCAGCTCCTGTGCACTCTTTGTCCCTCTCAACACAAATACTCAGCCAGCCCAACCAGACCTGAACGGCTCCAGCCAGCGCGAAGAAGACGGCCATGATCAAGTTGCTGAGCCTCCATAGCCGGCTGGGGCCCGGGACAGGAGGCAAAGAAAAACAGTCAGCCTCCATTGCCCGGAATTACGGCTTGCCTTTCCCAGCCCGCCCCGCTGGGTATACGCGGCCTAGGCGTCACTTTCTTTCAAAGCCCACCCATTTTTCCCACGCCGACGAGCTGCCAGGAGGACGTCCCAGCAAAGGAACCGGGAACCCGCCTCTTGTCTTCTTTTTAGTGGGCTCGCGAGATGTGGGGCAAGTAAAGTATATAGTACGGGAGCTGTAACAGCTTGTTACTGATACGCAGCCAATTTGGAGATGCGACTTTGCATCTTCAGTTTGTAAATAAACAGTCAGGACTTGATCACTGATGGAAGGAAGCCAGGTCTCTAGTTGACTACTTCTTCCTTTTCAAGTGGGCACGACCTCGACTTTCGTTGTCAAGATTGAAGGATATCTATCAACTGTTTCTTTGAAACCATTTTTTTTTTAAAGCACCAAATGAGCTGCCAATAAAATCGTAAGGAAGGACTATGAGGAAACATTGAACATTATGACTGAAACATCTCTTTGATTTATTGTAGAAGTGTTTTATTTGTTATTTATATTGCAATGAATTATTTGTCATTAAGATTTCTGCAGTTCTGGCTTCAGTAGATTGTTGGTAATGTGGGTAATGTGAGTTTGGTACAAACATATAATTAAAGATCTTCCTCTATTCTTCTAAATTCATTTTTAAAGTCTTGTCCTCTTGAGTTTTTCACTAAATTTAAAAAAATGTACATACTGATTTCTCCAGTGTAGCATCTCCCAATATGTTGTTAGGTAGGAATTCAAAATCTAATGAATGGTTGAAGACAATTGATAAAAAAGTAATTCATGTATTTGTTACATTTATTTAAACAACCCCTCCCTTTTTGAGAGAGATGGGCAGTTCAGAAATACAAAATAAAAAAATGGATTTAAATCTATTCCTGCATGCATCACATGCTTAATAATGAACCCATAAACTTGATTTTAATTATGCATTTAGTTGTAAGATAATGTTTCGCACCAAAGGCCCAAAACAGAGTTGCCAGTTAGAAATTTATGCAATGGAGTTTGGACAAACACTAACAAGATGCTAGTTGTATCTTTTGAGAGACGGTATAATACGCCAACATCTTATTTCCTAGGCCTATCCGTCTACTGTGCTGGTGACAACCTTCAGGAAACTAACCTGGGCTATGAGATTTATGCCAGAAGTTCAACCATACTGGACATGTCTCATCAGAGAAGCCAGACAAAGAGTGTCTTGCTCACAAACAATATGGTGAGACGTAACTTATAGAAACCTATACCAGACTTGTTGCCCGGTCGATCATCACAAGATCAACAAGGACCAAGGAAGTATTTGGATGTTGGCTGAACAACCAGGACCAACTACTGCAGGACTATTGGAAGAAAAGTTGCTTATCTGTCACAAATACCAAAGAGAATAAACTGGCCTGAAAGAAAGACAAAATGAAGATAGAAAAGAGCTATGGCAAGGCAAAGTATTATATGGCTGATACAAAAAAAAACAACCAACCAGGCAAAGCAGATATCAATAAGGCCTGGCAATGGCTAAGAGCAGGAAAGTTGAAGAAAGATATAGTGGGGTTAATTCTGGATGTACAAGACCAAGCCTTAAGAACAAATGCATAGAAAGTCAGAATTAAAAGGAGAGCAAGCAACAGCAAATGCAAGCAAATTCTGTCTTTGCAAAGAAGCTGAAAAAGTGGAGCACCTAGTTATCTGCCGCAAGAAAAATGCAAAGACTGACTGTAAACCATGGCATGACAAAGTAGCATCAATAATGCATTGGAATATTTGCAACAAATACCATTTGCCTGCGAACAATAACTGATGGGGCCACAGCATAGACAAAATAGAAAATGAAGAAGCTAAAGTAGTTTTGGACTTCGTAGAATTTAAACAAACAAGCATCTGCCACACAACATCCCAGACTTAACGCTTGTTGACAAAAAAGTCTGGATAGCAGATGTTGCAGTACCTAAAGACAACAGAACAGAAGACAAAAAACTGGAGAAAACCACAAAATACAAAGACCTGCAAATAGAAGTAGCAAAAGAAAGCAAAGATAGTACCCCTTGAATGTAATTCCAAAACATCAGGAGCACAACCTGAACAACATCAACATTGTCAGAATCTCTATCTGTCAATTTCAAAAGGCAGTTTTACTTAAAACAGCTTACATTCTGCAACAATATCGTTAACCTTGTCTAATAACATCTGCCTATCTCAGATCCTTGGAAAGTACTTAATAGGTGGATAAAAATACCAAATCCAGCCTAAAATCTGGATTGTGTGACCAACCATGATAATAATAATAAACCTCCAGATATATAGATGAAGGTGTCATATATTAGATCTGGTTTTATCTCATAGCAGTTGCAACATGCTCTGATAGTAGAGATCATTAATCAGTCTATTGTCATAGATCGATACCTCTCTGATTGTAGTCTAGCTTACTGATGTTACCATTCCCCCACAGGGAGATAGGGCCTGTTTGACTGGCCCACCTGTACCCCAGGTGACTGATGGACCTTATGTGGTTCCTCCTGGCTTTCCTTCAAAATCTAGTGGCAATTCGGCTGAGACCATAATCACTACTGGAATGGGCAGGTGGTCTCTCCCTGTGCACCAATCCCAGGCACACATTGGTTTATTGAGTCTGAGAGATGAAGCATCAGAAGGAATGCCTGGAGTGCTCTTGGAATAATCACTGAGTTCAATCAAACATGAAAAAGAGCCCAGCATGATATTTAGGGTAAGCCAGTCCACACTGAATAGGCATGGGCCACAGTACCACCTGCAAGACTGCTATGAGGAATGCTACTATTATTTGACAGATAAAATTGATTGGATCTACTATAACGTGAATTTTGATAGGGCAGTCAAGACTAAGATGTTGAGGGCTTGGGCTTGTGATCCTATTTAGGATGAATTGGACTTGGTAATTCCTGAGGAAATGACTAGTGTTCTGGGTGCTGTTAGTTCAACCACCTCTCTGCCACGGTCCATGCCATGGTTTTAGCCTCTTTGAGGGAGAGGGCAATACCTCTGCCCTTCTAAAGAGATGATGGCACATCCCTTTCTCAAGAGGCTGCAGTTGCATCCAAAGGGTTTTAGGTAAGTACTGCCCCATCTCCAATCCTCCTTTTTTAGGGAAGGTTGTTGAGACTGTAGTTGCTGAGAACCCTGGATGAGAATTTCAGTGAGATTTCAGTACGGAGACAACCTTGGTTGTATTGTTGATGCATTCAGGTGCAATGTACTCCAAGATCTTTCACCTATTCCATTGTGCACTCGTTGTGCTCCATGATCTTTCAGTGGCTTTCAATTAGCTGACCATATCCTTCTGAACTGGCTCCAGGGGTTGACAACTGGGCATTACTTTTCCATGGTTCTCTTCCTTCTTCAGGACTGATTCCAGTTGGTGCTGAATGAGTTGCTCCCCAAATCCCTTCTTTTTGAGGTTCCAACACTCCTTCTCCTAATCAACATTTATATGAAACCACTGGGTGAGGTTATTATATCTCACAACCCCAGGCTGGCTAAGTGAGGTAATCTTCGACTTACAACAGTATGCTTAGTGACCATTCAAATTTATAATAGCACTGAAAAAAGTGACTTATGATCATTTTTCACACTTATAACTGTTGCTACATCCCCATGATCATGTGATCAAAACTCAATACTTGGCAACTGGTTCATAATTATGAGTTGCAGTGTCCCTGGGTCACGTGATCCTCTTTTGTGACCTGACAAGCAAAGTCAATGGAGAAGCCAGATTCACTTAACAACTATGTTACTATTTTAACTGCAGATTAACAACTGTGGCAAGAAAGGTTGTAAAATGGGGCAAAACTCATTTAACAAATATCTCACTTAACACATACTTTTGTTGGTTCAGTTGTTGTTAACTTGAGGACTACCTGTAAATAAATCCAAATATTTCTTCAATAGGGTAAATGCATGTATCTATTCATTGGAAAATAATAAAAATACCTACTTGAAAGATTGCATATGTTGGGAATACAGTGGGCAATAAGTTTACAATACAAGGCCAAAAGCTAGAAAAACTTCCTTCAAAAGAAGCCTTTTATACTCTCATTGGCCTTTCAGGAAGTGTTTAAACCTTCCTCTTTAATCCCATTTTAATCTGTCTTTTGAGGGGGTTTGAATGATAGAGTTTTAAACAAATACCTATTTTTATAAATATTTTAAAGTATTTATTACAATTGTTTTGTGTTCTAATGCTTTAAGGTTCCATTTTAAGTTATAAGAATGCTTGTACTGTAACTGATTTGATATTTGTAATCTTGAGCCCCCAGGTGGACAAGTAGTGTACAGTATACATCGTTTTTTGAAAGAACACCATGTTCATTACAACGTTGTAAATATCAACACTGAAGAAGCTGATAACCAAATAAGGTTCCTTAAAACACTTTGTTCACCAGTATACATTTCCCAGTGTAATATCCTATTCGAAGCGCAGGACCTTTAATTAAGGCAAGACAGGATAATTCACAGGCTCGATTCCTGCAGAACCGGAGCTGATTATGTTCTCTGGATCTCTAGAGATCTAATTACAGATTCTGTCAAGTAATGATCTTCCATCCTCCTCTTCATGCCGTCCGGCTTAAACAACGCTTAAACCGTTTTCTATACCCAAGCGTTGCAATTTAAAGACGAGGCGAGGCAGAGAAGTTTATGCCTTCAATGGCAACCCGCTCCTAGTTAAGAGGCAGGTTTGAAGCAGAGCCCTTACATTTCGAGAACAGCCGGCCTCTTTCTCTAACCAACCCTTT